CATTGTAAGTATGTGTATATTCTCAAAGTCAGTGAGGAAGTAAGAAGAATAATTCAGTGCTTCGTGAAATAAAACCTTGGTAAGTTTCTTATATTGGAGGCATTTTTACATTAAATGTAAGTAATTCATGACTATAAAAGTTTTTCAATGTTATACAGATTTTTCGTTGAGTGACCTGGCTACAATTGAATGAAGAATATATGATGAATAAATTTCAACAACAAATTCAAACAACAGCGCATCACAATATTCCTATATAAAAAAGTTTGGATAAAAAACGAAAATAATTCAAAGAACAACGCATCACAATTTTTGTTTTAGGATCGGTCTTTGTCTAAAATAACCATTTGAATTCAATGATAAATTTATTAAGGCAATTGAACTTTAAGGAAAATATTCAACATTAGTAATTATGACATGTACTTTTTTAAGATAGACAATGCGAATTTTTAAAATGGACATGATGATCCATTTCACGTGACCGCAATTTTAGGGTTGTTCTCTAATAGATTTGCTCTCTCTCATGCCACATGTCTCATTTAATGTCATTTACTATAAAACATGGAAACGCGGTATACGACAGTATGAGAACCTATCTTTTATCAGAGAACGCTAACCGAGACCTCGACCGATCATAGAAGACAGAAATAAAGTATATAATTATTTACATTGATGTTTGCTACTTTTGTCTAGTATGCAGAGAGCCAGCTGTAGCCTGCCTCCGGGTGCGGGATTTCATCGCTGTGTCGAAGACCCATTGGTGACCTTGTGCTGTTTTCTGCTCTTTGGTCGGGTTGTTGTCTCTATGACGCATTCCCCATTTCCATTCTCAATTTTAGTTAAGGGAATTTATGAAATAACAGCAATAACTCATTTTCTGTTTAAGATTCAAACGTTCCAATACTTTTGGATGAAAGGGAATCGACGGTACACGTCTCTGAGACAGCAATCCAAAAATCAAGCCATCTAGTTATCAACAGTCTTCAACAATATACATATGCATATATTAATCTGACGAGATCTAAATTGACAAAAAGTACATTGATAGACAACTAATGAAAATCCTGATTTGTTACAGACACATATTTACGTTGCGGACTTAAGCAAGTTTTTGTAAGATCTCAACCTCCCCCTTCTTTAATCTCGGCCAGTCGAATAACAAATAGTACACAAAAACATACATTAAAATCAGTATTGGAACTTAATGCTTGTTACAGAATTCAATAATTATGGTCCCCAGGAGTATAAATAAAGAAAAAACCCATGCACAAATAAAACAAAAGTAAACATAAAGAATGTTCGTGGTTGCTAAAAGCAAGCTCAAAGTACCTGACGTCCCCAATACGAAACTATGACGTCTTTCGCTCGTATATCGATGGCTATGCTTAATTCACACTGGATTTCATACAGCAAAGTCATAAGCAATAGTGGAGATCTAACCTTGTAAAATGAGCAGAACAAACCTGTACAGAATTTCAATGCAGAAAAACAAATTGAAAATTTTAGTGTTGCTTTAAACTATAAATATGCAATAACATTAACCTTACCAAGATCACTGATGTTACTGGCAAAAAAATACCAGGCATGATAACTGAACGCTAACAGTATAACAATAATATTCATCAAGCCAAGAAAGATATAGTCTTAGTCCCTCTTATCGTACAATAGTATAAAACAATAGATATATCTACCATCTTAAACATGTGGAGTATATATCTATACATATCTAGCCTAGGATCGTGGCTCACTACTCGACAGTAGACTGACACGAAGATGAGGTTTGGCCAAGATGCCAGGCTGGTATATATCTCCCAGTTGACACGATATTCCAGGGTTTATGTTTCTTATCATGATTTCCTTGATACTTGCTGCTTACAAGGTAGCTCTACAAGGTAGCTTTTGCCCCGATGGTTCTAAATGGAAAAATTGAATGTATCTCTTTGAAAATTTACGCTATCATGATTTGGTTGTCTTTTTATCATATCTGTGTTAAATATGCCCATGAATATGTTCTACTTGCAGTCCTGTCATCTTTCAATCTTGTCTTAATAAAAGGTTATTTGATTTGATTTTTAATTATTCTATGATTATTACATAAAATACTACTTGCGTTATAAGACTTTCTCTCGAGCTAACAAGCAGTGATATATGGTCGTTATGAGACTTTCTCTCGAGCTAACAAGCAGTGATATATGATCGTTATAAGACTTTCTCTCGAGCTAACAAGCAGTGATATGGTCAGCGTCGTGTTGTTCAATCTTAGAAAATCCTGTAGTGATTTATTGAATGTTCTTTCTGTTCGTTTTTTTTTATCTGTTTTCTTAGGGTGAATTTCAATCGACTTCGTATTTACTTAAATTCGTGCTTAGCAGCCGAGTCAAATTTTCAAATAGAGAAAAAGAGATTATTAACATAAAACATAACGTAACAAAAAGTACTTGAAACGGTAATTTAAAAGCATTTCCGTTTTTTGTCTTCAAAATTTAATTTTTCTAAAATATTTCTGATTACAATGAATGATTTTTGCAAATATCCAAAATTAAAATCAGCGACGAAAAGAAATGAAAACATAACTCTGAAAGGTTCTCATTGTCATTGCGGCAGGCGAGGCGGGTTTTCGAATACAATGCTGAAAACTTTTCATATAAAAACATGATGTTGTAAAATGTGAATGAGAAAAAATCTATTAAATCTTCGAAAAGCAAGAAACAATATTAGACGCTTGCCATTATTCATTCTAAAGCTTTGAAGTTTTCTCATCTTTTCAATTTAAAAACATAAACGCTGGTCAAAATTCATTCTTTGGCAAGGGAGTACAGATATATGCTCATCCCTGTACGTCTCCCGTCCGACAGTAAACCCCTTGCTAATTTGGCGAGGTCTGTCACAAGTTTAGTGTACTGGCTGTATAAAAAAAAACACTGCCACGTCCAATCGGAGAAGGGACATTAAACAAGATTATTTTCCAAAATTCAAAAACATAGATGCTGAGAAAAATGCCTCTCGTATCATGAAGGTTTTTTGTCTTTTAAAGTTGGAACGGCATTTTTAATTTGCTTTTGAATTATGTCAATGCTTTTGGTTGAATCATACTACGCGAGATATTATATACTCATATTCCAAAAGCTAATAGTTATTATCCTGTGTCGAACTAATATAGAGTGAATATCCAATGTTTAAATCCCCTAAAAGGGTCATTGACTTTTCTAGTTAACCATATAAAAAAATGAGATGTGGTATGATTGCCAATGAGACAACTATCCACCAGAGTACAAATGAAGTGGGCGCAAGCAATAATAGACAACAGTACGGTCTTTAACAATGAAAAAAAACCCATATGAAAAAATGTGAAATAATTCAAACGAGAAAACTAATGGCCTAATTTATATCAACAATTTACGAAAAACAAATATGACAGACATGATCCAACAACAACCACTGAAGTACAGGCTCCTGACTTGGGACAGGCGCATAACGAATGTTGCAGGTTAAAACATGTTTGTGAGCGCTCAGTCCTCCTCTAACCTAGGACAGTGGTGTAACATCACAACAAACGAACACGCTGTAAAAATCAAATTCTTAACTCAAACGATCGGTACGTGGCACAAAAACAACTGAATTAAAAAACAATAGACATAAAGCTCCGAAATAAGAGTACTCGCAGTTACTGAAAGCTAGTTCAAAGCCAATTACAACTAATAAATAAATCATGTTCTCCCAGACTATACCTTTGATTTTCCCAGGTGATTTTCATTTTCATATTAACATTTAATTTTAATTTCAATAACTTAGGTTTATTCACAAAAAAAATATATGAAGTTTTTCACATATAGTTTCACTTCAAGTGGTCAATGCCCCCTATGTTTGGCGGGGAAGTACAGATATATGTCCATCCCTGTACTTCTCCCGTACGGCAGAAAAACCTTTGTTTAATTGGCGAGTCTGTCACAGGTTGGGTGTGCTGGATGTATAAATATGCAGCAACGTCCGATCGGAGAAGGGACATTCAATAAGATGCGCCGTGTAGGGAAAGTGTCTCGCACTATGCACATTATATAAAACTTGTATAAACTATACGAGGAGGTGGAAGGTGGTCCATTGCAAGGCAAACTGTCTGTACATACCCTAAGGTAGCCCGTTGCAAGGAAACTCTCTGTACATACCCTCATTTTTTAGTGGCAGTCCAAACTTTCCGCCCTTCCTCTAGGTTATTTCAGTGCCACTGGACGTTAAGTTAGCTACAATCAACCAATCAATAAAAGTGAGCGGTCAAATGATAGGCATATTGAACCATAGTTGAAAATTAAAAAATTATATATATCGATATTGGTCTTATTGTTTAGGGATATATGATAAAAAGACACAGGGTAGCTAGGATAATGGTTTTCAGTATTTTTTATTATTTTTATTTACAGGGGAAAGCCTGACTTCAGATCAGAACCGTTTAATTTATCGTCATATTTATTTTTTACCGTTAAAGTACTATGTCTTAATATATGACTTTAATAGATCTGAATACCAAACAATATATCAAAATATACGTCAAGAAATTTTATTCCAATGGAAACAGAAAATAAATAGGAAATAAATAGAAATATGATTAGTTTTCAGAGAAAATTTCTATTTTGTTCTTCGTGCACATAAAACAATTTTCAATTCCTATCGATCCCATCCCCTTTTGTCCCTTTATCTCCTAAGCAACATGATTAAACCACTTCCCAAGGTAAAATTAGAATCTAGTTATATGGAGATCGAATAAGATCAATATATGCTTGATATGGCTTTTAATATGATAAGTCGTTCTTTTTTGGGGTAGATATTAGTTTTTGTTGACTAATAATCGTGTGTTATTCTCTAACTCGTCTTTAATGATATAGATCTGTGGACAAATTAGTTTCATGTTACATTCACAACAACAAAATTTAATAAAAGAATTTACATGAGTAATTTACATAATTTTACCTGTAAAAGGCAAAGAGAATTATCATACACAGTTGTATCCCCTGGGCGTTCCTTCTCCTTTTATCTCAACTAAAGATAAAATATCTACGTCGTCCATGTTAAATTGTTTTTATTTCAACAACACATAACAAACAAAACATGGATTAATTTTTTGTCTCACTATCTTAACAGGTATTTATGCATGTTTTGCTTAAAAATTGATATACAGAATTTCTTTTTTCTTTCTGTTTTTGATTAATTTCTTCAAAAGCAGATTGGTATTACCGCTTAAGGATTGTTGAAATGTTAAATATTTTTATTGCTTTGTTATCTAATATATATCTACATTGATGTGTCATATTTGTCCAAACTTAGACCAAAACAATGAAAAATGACAACATTATTTATCGCAATGACCACATCATTTATAGCTATTATGTAATATTGACCATGACATGTACAAATAAATAATACTGGAACAATCTGTTACATTGCTCAAAGCTATTGTTAAACTTTCTAACATATAAGAAATTAATATATTTGAAGTGTGCTCTTCGTAAAAAAAAGTTTTTTTTTAATTCTCATATATCTTTTAACAGTGGGCAATTAAACACATACATGTATGTTACGTAATACAAATAGTCCAATATTTGAACAAGATAATTTATTATTTTATTTGTACTCTAATCACTTCATTTTATGATATCACATGTATATTAACTTTAATACGTTAACTAAGCTTGTAGTTGTAAACTTTGAAATTGGTTTGCCTAAATAATGTCTTAGTTTTATTACTTTTCGCCTATCATCATGATAGTATACCTTTATCTTCTTGTCACTTAACAGATGCATGATATATCTAACCAGTGACAATAGTCATGTTTTCTGACACATTATTATGCTGAAGGAAAAAACGGTGGAAAATTTTGCAAAACTCTGAAACAGCTACTACTGTAAAAAAAAATCACAATGATGATTTAGTGTACTCTAGTGTCTTCTTCTTAGTGTCGTTGGGTTGCTATCTCATTAACGTAGAGCCTCTCTCTCTCTCTCTCTCTCTCTCTCTCTCTCTCTCTCTCTCTCTCTCTCTCTCGGGAGAAGCGTGAACCACAAGAGATTACGCCCCTATTGATGTACATCATTTCATTCTATTTGGAGATCATGCGATTTCGACTGTCTGTCTCTTTATTACCTTTATATTGTAGTTGATATTCAATGCTATAGTCCTCCTGAAGTGAATATATGCTTATATATTTTTCTTTCAAAATGATGGGTCGTTCGTCCAATTTTGTGAAATTATATTTTTTAAGTCTCGTAAGTAATTTTTTCTAGCTTGCAATAGCAACCTACATCTTTATTTACTTCCGTTTACTGATATATCCCTTTGATAATAGCGATAGATAGTGTGTTACATTCTTTTGTAATATAAAGTGAAATCAATAGCCCTTATCTTAATTCCTAAAGAAATAATTGAAAACTTCAAAATACTATTTTATACAAAAATGCAATTTCAAAGTGAACGATGAGATAAAGATGAGGAAATATACACACAAAAAAGCTCGTCACTTTAATTCCAATTAAAAAAAAAAACACCAATAACTACTGTTAAAAATATTTATTAAATGTACACTTTATGTATTAAGAATTTTCGTTTAAACACCCGAGAAAAAAACAACGCAACAAAGGAAGTATACTAATCCCTGAATTCTTTCCACTCTGCAGCATAGCGAAAAATCCCATACACTTACATGTACATGTTAGTGTTGATAACAGCTAAAATTTGTTAGGTATATCAAACAAAATACTTTTTGAAAATCTGACTGTTGACCTTTTTTTTGTGGTGGATATTGGTTTTTGTCAAAAGGTATTCCTGAACTTATAAAAACTAACTGACCTTTTAAGCTTTACAGTTAAAAAAAAAAACAAAAGACACAGATGAAACCAATTAAAAATATAATTTTAAATGAATACTTAAAAAAAAACTGTTTACGAAATATTTTTACACGCATGCCATCCTTCTTTTATCAAAGTTTTATTTTGCGAATTTGGACATGTGTTGATGTCCTCGTTATTTGTTTATACATCCAGTTGATTATAATTGTTTTCTTGTTTCTTTCAGTTATCACAACTTGTAAAGCATGGGGGCATGTAAGTCATGTTCTCGAGTCATCCTTGTACTTATTAACATATTATTTTCTGTAAGTATGACTATGTATCAAATTTATCATTACCAAAGTACAGGTGTATCTATATCATGAACATTGGTTATAAGATAACTCGTTAATCTACAGCGGTGTGGTTTATATGTATACTTACATGCTTGAACATCCACATGCTTTCCGGGCAAAAAATATAAAAAAATAGAAAGTGTGAGAATCAACACACAAAACTTTTAACCGTTTGATCCTAATTGCCTATTTTATTTGCTTACTCTCTCAGCCTTATTTTAAAATGAGTTATAGTGTATAAATGATTTACACAAAATCGTATACGCACTTAAAGAAACCAGAAACAAAGGAACGACTCGTTTTGTCTGAGCATCAACATACACAAGTTATCAAGAATCGCGTGAATGGCTGCCTTTAGGTATTTCTAAATGGTTTGGTTGGTCCCTTTAAAAATTTGATATTAATGCCAGATCTTTTGCTAGGTGAACTTATTTATTTTCACTTTTGTACACAAATATTTCCTTTATTTTGTTCTGCAGAATATTTATTTGATATCATGGCTTGGGAAGGATTATTTGTTCTTACGAGGCCAAGACATTCATTTCAACCCCCACACCCCGAAATCAAATGGTCGCCTACTGTATTGTGTACGTCAGATTTCTAGATTCTTCAGACTTTGAATAACTTGAAAGTGTTCCGAATGCAAATTGATATTTTTATCAAGTATCCACACTCGTGTTTTACTTTATATATTCTGCCAAAATTAACATCTTTTTTCCGGCATGAAGAAATAAGAATGAGAATAACTCTGAAAATAATCATGATATACAATCTAGATATGAATGAAAAAGAGATGTAAGTATACGGCAATATTACAACAACCAGACGAAACCAGAAGAATCCAAGTTCTTCAACAATAGAACATGAAGAGACAATAAGTCAAAATTGTCCCTAGTCTAGAACAGTTCATGAACAACAGAGTCTTGCAAAGATCGTACAAAAACAAAAAATTTCCCAAAATCTTTTCTTGATCTGGATTAACTTCATCAGAAATGGAAACACTTCAGAAAGCTTAAACTAAAAAATGCATAAACAAACGCTGACCCTAAAAAGAGGAAAGTAAATTTTGCCCGATTAATTGGAATTATTTTCTATGAAAATTTCGATAGTTTTCAAGTGAAAATATATTAGTATGTTTGTGTACTAGTATATAAAATAAATCAAGTTAATACAGTAGAGCTTACTGCTGATATCTTGGTAGACTAACAGTACGTCAGAAGTGGTGTCTAGCCACACATATACCCAATGTGATGAAATTGGTTGGTTTGTCGATGCACTTCGTCAAAAACTTGTTACATTTGATAAAAAAGATAGAAGTGAAGAGTACTTCAATGTTCTTATTTTCATTTTACAGTTGATTGGAATAGCCTTATTGATTGTTGGAAGCGTAGTAAGATGGGGAACAGATTTAATGAACCAGTACCTATCAGATTTATATAAAGACTTCAGAGTAGCTATTAATGTTCATGATGATTTAGACTTTAACATACCAGATCTGCTTGGGGATGTGACATTAAGTTTTATTGTAATTGGTGCTTTCTTCTTCATCATTGGTATTTTAGGATGTATAGGAGCCTGCTGCACAGTCAGACCAATGCTTATACTGGTAATGTATACAAATAGCCATTACGTGTTTATTTTATTCGTTTTATCTAGTAATCATTCTAATATATTGATTTGTAATGGTTGGAGGTAACATACATCTGTGGCACATAAAACCTTCGAAGTGATGACTACAATTTTACTATAACGGGCACTTGATTCAATAGCTTCCTTGTAAACAGCAGTACAGAAATAAAAGGAAAATACGCTAGTCCAGGAATATCGTATTTACTAAGAGACATACGCTAACGCCATATGCGGGTTTTGCTGGAATATTGCTACATCAAAAATTGAAAGTTCACAATAGGAAAAACGAATTCATCTCTATTGTCATGAAGTTAAGATTTCAACCAACCCTTACTGTCAACTTCAAAATATAAAGTAGATCTAACTGTATCTGTGTTGTCCTTATATATCAAGTTCCATGGAATAGATGAGATCAACATTGTCACCAATCTTTGAATTGTTCAATGAGAGGACATTATCTGTTTAGCGGAAAGTGAAGTTAAATGATAATGCTAGCTTTTCGTCATTCTTCACGAGAAGCGTTTGTATCAAGTTTGACTCGTACATATAAGGAAACAAGTGGAACAATTGGTTTTACGTAGGAATGCATATTATCTGTATAAGATCACGTCTATCAAACGTAATAAAAGTGTTTTCAATCAAACAAATCAAGCATTTTGCTAATGTCTGATTCAGAGAACTCTAACTGGAATCAGTGGGTTTCAAAGAATGATTTGTCCCTTCCTTAAAAAAAATATACTAGTATTCCCATATAGTCGTAGCACCATGTTGTTATAAAATTTAAAAAAAAAAACAATTTAATAGTTGTATTATAATTAATACATTTTTTTCTTTTTCAGTACGTTGTAATTTTGTCAATTTTGGTGTTAGCTGAAATAGCCTTTGTGGTTGTCTTGTTCGCTGCTCAAAGCAAGGTATCTAATTTGTATACAAAGAGTTTCAACTCGACTCCCCAGAAAAAAATTACAACCAACATTATATAACACAACAAACTAATGCCTATCCACGTTAGAATATCACGCCTGTGTGTTTATCATTATTCTTTTGAAAACATAATGCACACAGTTTATGTTTTTTGTTTGCTTTTTAACCAAAAACATATAGAGGGCGACAATAAACAAATGTCTATAAATATGTCAAGCTCTAAATCGTTCCTTTTAGTAAAAGTTGGGAATAAACTAAACAGAAACACGCAAAGAACTGCCACTTTCACACCAAATTCTTCAAAGAACTGCCACTTTCACACCAAATTCTTCAAAGAACTGCCATCAACACACCAAATTCCTCAAAGAACTGCCATCAACACACCAAATTCCTCAAAGAACTGCCATCAACACACCAAATTCTTCAAAGAACTGCCATCAACACACCAAATTCCTCAAAGAACTGCCATCAACACACCAAGTTCTTCAAAGAACTGCCATCAACACACCAAATTCCTCAAAGAACTGCCATCAACACACCAAATTCTTCAAAGAACTGCCATCAACACACCAAATTCCTCAAAGAACTGTCATCAACACACCAAATTCTTCAAAGAACTGTCATCAACACACCAAATTATTCAAAGAACTGTCATCAACACACCAAATTCTTCAAAGAACTGCCATCAACACACCAAATTCTTCAAAGAACTGCCATCAACACACCAAATTCCTCAAAGAACTGTCATAAACACACCAAATTCTTCAAAGAACTGCCATCAACACACCAAATTCTTCAAAGAACTGTCATCAACACACCAAATTATTCAAAGAACTGTCATCAACACACCAAAGTCTTCAAAGAACTGCCGCTTACACACCAAATTCTTCAAAGAACTGTCATCAACACCAAATTCTTCAAAGAACTGTCATCAACACACCAAATTCCTCAAAGAACTGTCATCAACACACCAAATTCTTCAAAGAACTGTCATCAACACACCAAATTCTTCAAAGAACTGCCATCAACACACCAAATTCTTCAAAGAACAACAAATGTAAGATATGACATAAGACAGGGGTTGCTAACTTGGGACAGGCAAACGACAAAGGAATGTGTAGCGGGGTTACACTAGTATTTTTTAGATCTCATCCCTGTATTTTTAATTAAATCTGGACCAGTGAACTAACAGAACTAACATTAAAGAACATACAAGTAAAGTTCATGAATTGAATGCTCGCAGTTTCAGAAAGCAAACTAAAAAAGAAGTAAAAGCGTTTTGTTTAAAAAAAACAGTTGGGAAATACTTCGACTCATGATATCGTCACTTAAAAGCTAGTTCAGATTAGCTGATTCCAACCTATAAATAAATCATATTTTCCTAGAGTAAAATCAGTGCACATCCAATGTATCTAGGGTAAAGTCGTCATGAACCGTATGAAAAGAAAAAAAACATGGCCTTGTGCAATGCTAAGATATATGTATCGACAGGATGTTGAAACAAACGTGTTCATAATTGTATAGACAGACATATTTAGTTATGTTTTGATTTATTAAGAACAACTATCAGGACGTACAATGCCACTGAGGTTTATCTATGTACAATGCCACTGAGGTTTATCTATGTACATTTTGTATTCCCTATTCTTTAACTTGCTTTTTGAAAGAAAACCAGATGCCAAAAACCATGTGCAAAGTAGTTGTACTGTCCATGTGACAGAGAATCACAATGACTTATTTCCAATTGAATAAATGGTGTTTACAACCACAACTGTTATGAGTTTCGATTTCTAGTTTGTCGCCGTATCAGATAAATCTACAAAATCAGGTTCAAGTAACTCTGAATACTACATAAATTTATTTATTACGACTCCAAAATTATTTGTTCTATCAATACAAAAAAAAAACTCTTTCGTTAATACCATAACACCGTTTGTCAAAATTCCTGGTTTATATTTCTGTAAGTTGTATCAGATTATCAAATTAATTCAATGTATGTTTATAGGTTGACGAATGGTTGAAGAAGCCTTTCAAAATGACATTAGAAGAATACAAAGGTATAGATGGTATAGATGCTGTTACTTTAGGATTAAACTTCATCATGACGCAGGTTTGTTTAAATTTGTTTTGACAAAATAAACATTTTCATTGATATTCTTATACTTCAAAAATACTCATTTTCACAATGTTCAATTCAAGTAATTTGATGCAATTTATAAGTGGTACCAGTAGTTTACCTATGTTCTGTACTCCTAGATATATCTGTACTATACAAAACAAGACAACAAAAACCTGACGAAATCATATCAAATTCAAATGGATCAAGACTGAGTACGTCGATAGGGTAAGAGTATCCCCGCTCGCTATGCAAAACCATATTCAGTCCGAAAATGTCACGAAAGGACATAGTACTTTCGTATCAAATGAGATTTGAGACCACGCCATTTTTTTCGCGAGTTGAGACACATAAACATCGTTTCAGTTAACATATTCGTGATCATGATCGCTAAAATTTGTGTCGTGTTCAAACCCTCATATCCCTGTTGGGGGATATTTCGTGTGGGGCTCATTCCTGTGTATGGAGTCCGCTTAAATTTAACATGTCCGCACGTTTTATGTCAATTTAGAAATGTAAACACCTTACAATGATCTAATATGTATGTCAAAACTGAGAAATGAGATATTGACAATGTGAAAACTGAAAAATCTTATTTGTAATTGAACTACATGTAGTTTGAAGTCGTCCATCTCTATCAATTTCAAGAAAGAGATTCAGAGATAAAGCAGACATTCTCATTTCGGTAGTACCCTTAATAATAAGATCATTCACATGGGTATATTTGAGATGCAAGCACTCGCTGAAACGTGACTCAGTCAAATTTGACTTTAGACAGTTATTGCAATCCTTTTCGGATAAAGTGTCCAGTTTTTGTTTGTCTGGCTCGCATTTAACCATGGGGTAACATGTTTTTATATTTGGTCTAAATCCCAGAAGTATCGTATATCAGTTTTAATGAGTATTCTGTTCGACCCTGTTGGGGTCGCACTCGATTCAGGCACAATTGCACTTATTTAAATCACCGAGGCGGTCCCCCTTTCAGACTGATTGTCACATAATATTCATTTGTTATAACTATTATAACATTTTGAATAGGTTATGTTTTTTTTAATTCAACATTAGACTAATTCGGTTACTAGTACATATACTTAAGTTACTTATGTCTTCAAATACGAAAGTTTCACAGTATACATGGTCAATTTCACTTGAATTTATTTCAAACAATTACATTTTCAAAAAGTTTTTTAATCTTAACTTAAATTAACAGTATCACAGTTTCATGTGTGTACTTTGAGTTTGTAACATAATGATGTCGTATATTTATGAATATATAAAGAAATAATAATTACGAAAAGATGGCTTATAATTGCAATTTTGGAAGGTAGTCGATTTTTTTTATCCATTGTATTATCTGTCTAAAAAATAAATAGTATGAAAATAAGGATATATGGTATGATGACCAATTAGATACTATCCACCAGAATCCAAATCACGCGGATGAAAGAAACTATGGGTCACCTTACTGCCTTCAACAATAGGCAAAACCTATACCGTAAAAAGTCAGCTATAAAACGCACTGCCTGATTTGTGATATAGGTCATTCATAACTAGAGCCAAAAATATATGGATTGATCGATTGTTGCTTGCGTAACGTCCAGTGGCAGATAGTTCATGCATATTCAGGACGAGAACAAATTAAAAGTTAATACAATATGCTAGTTCTGCAATGTGTGTCGACAGATTAAGGAGGGAAATTTGGACTGCCACTGAACATGTTGAATAGCCTACCTACGGGCCCTCCAGAGAGTTGTTGCAAAAGTTTTGTTAACGATCGAAGAGCCTGGCACTCTTCCAACACGAGGCATTGGATTTAAAGTCCACATTCTGAGTGAACGTGGTTGCGAAATTATACATCCAACGCAGGCAAAAGGGCGCCCCGCTTTAGCAAGGGTTTTACTGCCTGACATGATAAGTCCAGGGATCACCATATTTATATATCCCGGCCAATCCGTTGGTTTAGAATTCGTTGGGAGGATAAGTTATGTATTGTCTTTCTGGTATATCTTAAATTCATTTATTTTTCTTCGATATATATCGATGCAAAATTTAAAAAAAAACTTGTAAACTTTGCAATTATGATGTCAACAGAAATGTAAAGCGCCGATTATAACACTTTATTTTATTTGATTATCAATTTCATGAAACCAATTTACAATTTAATTTACCAGGTTTCAACAGCATTTCGGTTTTTGACCTTGTGGGTGAAACAAATCATTGTTGAGGGAAATGGCGATACCTCTTTCCTGGACCCATGCCGTTGTAAAAGTATCTAACTTTTAACCCATTTTGAATAGTCTTGTATCAGTCAACTTTTAAAACTTCTTATTTGTATGGGGTGGTTAAGAATTAAATAGTACGTTCAACTGACATTGAGGCCAAATGCAGACTAGTATAACCTTTTAGAACAACTTATCCAAGGAAACTGTTTACTCACCTTTTATTTCTTCTAATTTCAGTACGACTGTTGTGGTGTAGAAGGCTATGGAGACTTTAATGACTCGACTTTGTGGGATAGAGAGTTTAATAAATCTGACGGTAGCACACACAACAAGTCTATACCAGCAGTATGCTGTATAAATGTAACTAATCAGGACTGTTGGCAGCACCCAAACACCAATAATTCTTATATGGATACGGTGTGTATTTATTTTGGTGTTTATAGCATACTAGTAATATGTGTTATTGTATCTAGATAAGGCTAGAAAATTAAGGTAAAATGTATCAAATTTATAAAGCTATCAGTTTACAAAAATGTACTCTATCTGAACAAGTATACAAATGGACATGGTAGAACAAAACTAAGTAAAAAGAAAAAAATCTACTGCCTAGTGCTCCCTTTTTATCATATAGCTCCTAAGGTTTCTACTTATTTACACATCGCTGGCTTTCAAATGTTTAGGTATGAACGTTCCAGTTGGAGGTAAATGCAGAAAAACCCTTCGGACGTACGAATTTATAAAGTCATATTTTTTTCATTTAAATCTGTTCAATTAAGAGGGGGGATTGGCCACAAACTGTTTAATCATTTTTTTTTTTATTTTCGGCCAACTAACCGGTCACTGGACCAAATCTATACTACGAATACAAAAGTTGTATTTTTATTCGATTCACATATAACAGTACAAACATAAGCTCTTGAAAGTTTTTTCCCAACAATTGTGTTGCAGTCATACAGTTTGTATAAGTATGTATACACAGCACATGTGCAGTTTAAAATTAAAAAAAAACAACATGAAGACACAGAACCAACTTCGTTTGTAAGGAGAATCTCCAGAGGAAGACAGGTGGCTAGCCAATCAATATCAGAATCCAAAGGATGACATGTGACTAGCCAATCAGAACTCAGAGGATGGCAAACGACTGTAGCAAAACATGTGTACCGACAATCGGTGAAATATACGAACAGAAGACTTAAAACAGAATCTCTGACCAATCTTTATGACTGAGGCATGTAAATAGTTAGATGCTTACCTTGTCGACGCACCTGTTTCGATACCAAGCTATTCCGATTGTTTTCATTAAAAAATAGTGATATCACGTGTTCTGAAAAAATGAATATGTTATTTCACAGGCGACACTCAGATTGCCCATTTCACGTGGTTGAATCTGATAAAGGTGCATTTATATATTTAAGTGACATACAAACAAGCAACATAGGGACAACACAAACATTTTATGTAGTGACTCTTTGTAGTGTCGTAATTCAGTGCTGATAAAATTTGAACCATTAATATTAAAATTGAAGAAATGGCAATCTAATTTGGATATCTGCTTTCCCGTCCGGAGCATCAAAGTTCGTCCCTTTTTAACTATCGATGGGGATTGTTTTGTCCAATCTTTAGATTTTAGGGTTGTCCTTTACCCGGGGGGGGGGGGGGGGTTACTTCTATATTTTTAGTGGTACGAGTGTGCCGCAAAACAGGGTCGCTTTTTCATGCCCTGCTGGTTAGAACAGGGTCCGTTTTTCATGTCCTGCTGGTTAGAACAGGATTGCTTTTTCATGCCCTGCTGGTGAGAACATGGTCTTTTTTTTTAACAAAGTATTTGTCTATAACAGGATCGCTTATTTAACTGTTTAAGATAGTCTAGAACAGCATCTATTTTATACGGTCTAGAACAGGATCATTCCCGGTGCATATTTTAACAACTGTCATCTTTAACAGTTTAACAGTATGCCAAACTATCGTATTTCTATTTTGTTTTAACTTGTACCGGGGACAGATCTTTACTAGAACATATAGGTCTCTGTCTAGAACAAGGTATACATTTTCTGAGCGTGTCTAGAACAGGGTATACATTTTCTGAGCGTGTCTAGAACAGGGTATACATTTTCTGAGCGTGTCTAGAAAAGGGTATGTTTTTCAATATTTCTGTTTAGAACAGGGTATGTTTTTCAATGTTTTCTGGTTAGAACAAGGTATGATTTGGCAAGTGCTGTCGGCACAGTTATACCCGAAAGGATAGTCAGTAACCCCCCCCCCCCCCCCCCCCCCCCCCCCCGGGGGTCCTTTATGAACTTTTGTTTATTTGTTCACCTTTTTTTCTTTTGACCATGGTATTTTCTGTTTTTCTTTTGACCATGTTATTTTTTCTGTTCTTTGACTTGTTCTCGATTGCACCATGTGCGTCGTCTCCCCTTTTTGTATGACTGGTCAATTGGACAGGCTAGTTATATTTAGGAAAATCAACTGACTAGAAAATGTTTACCCTTCCACAACAACTGATATCATGAAATTGAATGACAACTTCAGCTACTGGACACCTTTTTGTTATCGTACGCTTATCTTTGTAATTTTTAAGTTATCTTGGTTTTGGTTTTATCTTATCGACTTCGACAACTCGTCGTATTCTTCTCTGCTAAGTACCTTCCTATCTTGGTATGTCTACTTAAATTGAAATAGTCCAGATGTGGATAATATGAGACAACGAAGATTTATCAGATATTTGATTTTACCCTATACATTAACTTTAAAAATAAAAGCAAATTTAAGACATTTTAGCGGAAAGAAAGAAAGATATCATTATGTTTCCCGTGTATAATGCATTTGAGTATTTCGCTCCTTAAACTTTTAGTTTAGCAGTCCGGCAAGACCAAACAACAAACTCCAAACTAAACATGCTAAATGTAATGTATAACGTACCAACAATAACAATATATATAAGCACATACGAAATAGAAACAACAATAGATTAAAAGAGTAATTAGTGTTTACTGCAGGTTATTACTATTAAATATGTAAGTTATTGACAAAACTGCCACAGAGGAAAGGTAATTAAATAAATAGAGTTACTGAAATCCAGTCCTTTATCCAAGATTATAACGATTAATCCATGTAAAACACTCATGTCTAAATTTACGACAACGTAGAGAAAAATAAAATATGAAATGAATTATATGCCAACTATGAAAAAAGAGTAAAATAATCGTAATTATAAAATGTTGATATAAAATTAGCTCTTAATGTTTACCCAATTGAAACAGAAATATAGACTTTCTTAGCTCCAGTTTCAGGTTTGTCTAACCGATGACATTGGTTTAGTTTTCTATAAATACTCTATATTTTTGCAAAGTAAAGTTATACCATTACTACAGATTCATTACTTTCTATATTTATATTTTACAGGGCTGTTATGATGCTATCAAGGACTGGTTACATGACAACATGGAACCACTAATAGGTACTAGTGCAGGAGTACTAGTCATTGAGGTTAGCTAACATATATAATCATGAAGATATAATAGTCAGTATATAACAAAATAGGATTTCTTTTTCTTTTTTTGTGGGTTTAGTTTTAAAGATCCAGAATTTCAATAAATACATAAATGGGTGTATCCATAGCTGTTGTCCATGCAATTGGTCAACATTTCACTTCTTGATATTTAAATTTAAAATTTGGTTCGATCCTTTGAACATAAAGGTTAATAGACTTGTCAATAAACTTGTTGATATTTGAATTCAAATGTTCATTTATTCTATTCTTTCTAATGTAAAGCGTATCCCAAACAAAGTTGTAATCGTTATGTTCTGTGTAAGTATTTGAATAGTTACATAGTTGTTTACACATTCTATTTCTAGATAATACTTGTTATATTTGCCTGTGTTGCTTGTTCTAAAGAGAGAAGTAACAAAGAAGACTATGAAAATGATAGCTACGGTAAACCAGTAATGGACGATCGGTCTTATGATGCAATTAGAGCATACGAGAATCAGGGATACAGGGGACCACATCATAACAGACAACCATATAATGGATATGACGACAGAGGCTCTTATGATAATAGAGGACAAAGAGACAATCGAGCGTACCAAAATGATGTTCCGAGTCGTCGCCGAGATAAACATTATTAGAGTGTGGAAATTATGTCTATTACTTGTTAAGGTCAATTGCAAAACTACTTACACTACAAGAATGTCAAAGCATATACAACAGATCTGTATAATTTGTCTTGCAAATTACCAAGTATAACTTGTTTACAATGAAATCCAAGTCAAATGGCCATAATGATAACAAACCAGAACAAATGTCTGGCGCAGTTTAGGAAATAGTTGATACATATATTCGTTCTCATACAAAATACTGTTTTAAGTAATCAAAAAACAATTATTGTCGTCGTAATGAAAACTGTTCTTCCCATTTTGCTGTTTTAGTAATGTTTGGAATAAGACTCTGACACTGTGATCCTAGTTTGTATGATTATATATACATGCTCAAATGATTTATTATGTGGTTGATGATCATTTTACCTGACCATATACATTTTTTTAGATTCGTTGCGAAAATTGATAATGTAAAAGATGCATTTACAGAGAAAATTTGAAGGACAATTCCTAAACGTGTTAGCTTTATAAATAATATTACCTTAAAAATGTGAATTACCACATTTGAATGTATCTATTTTCACTTTGGATTGTTTTGGGTTTATTTGCCCCTGTAAATTAAACCAGAAAAATGTGTAACAATCTTTATTACTTAAATTCTTAAAGCTTCAAATCGAAGAGCTTTCATAAAATTTGAATGTTTGCCAAGCCTGGATGACACAATATGTCTGCAGCATCATAAAAGGGCAAACTCTAATAATTTATCAAATTACATAATTTTACAAATATAGATAGTTTGGAATACATTTAATATTTGGGCCAATTGGACCCCAAATTGTACTTTCTCCTTCATTTTTAAAGTAACATTAATTAACTTTCCCCGTGTTCTCTTGAGTAAGAATATTTTTATGTAAAAAAGTCAGCTTTTCTGTGAATGCTTAATTTGAGAAAAGTACATGTATGGAGTTCAGACTCATTTATTAACAAGAATAAAGAGTTATCGGAACTTTGATAATTCGATTACGTTATTGCTGACATGTACAGGGAATGGAGGAATGACTCCTGTCCGTCGTACGTTCATACTTTATTGTTTCAAACTGTATTATCACACCGAGTATCCCAATCCGAAAACGCGGAGGGATCCGAATCTCGAGGAGCAATAAGTCAATGGGTAAGTAAATTCTGGATCCGTCCCACTAAGGAATTATGCTCCGTGGGAATCGGATCCATATTTAGCCTACCCACCGTTACAAATTAATTTCCCCTCGGGATTCGGATCCTTCCTCGGATTTCTGATCGGTTTACCCGTTGTGTTATTGTTTTATTGCATATTTATCTGTGTTGGTGTGAATGTTAATTGTTAATAAGCAGAAGTCATTTTATTTTTTTGGTTTTTTTTTTCTTCTTCAATTAAATGAAGGAAGAAATGTAATAAAAAAAGTTAGATCATTTCAGTGAGACCTTAATTTAAAACGTTGCAGGTTAACTTGAAATTATCAATATCTTACACAATAAAACAAATAAAGCATCTGAATCTTATAAGATCGTATCTCGGAAACATACAAAACTTGAATCAATCACTCAAAATAATGCAATTAATCCAATCAGTATACTACTATAGATATTCTTTGGTACGACGTTTCATGATTTAGTTGATATTAGCAGGAGATCTACCTAGGTTTTAGTTAAAGATGCATTCTTCTTAAATTTCCTCTAATTGGTGGTGTTATGCTGTAGTTTGTAGTAAAGGAAAGACAACCCAAATCTCAAAACGTAACAAAGTTATAATTGATACCAAATAATGCTTTCTCGTATAGTTATTATCGCCGACTAAGACGTTATGACTCGATGCAGCAGAATATACAATGGATGTATGGATTGGTTATTATTTTACGTCCAGTTGCAAATATGATAAGCATATATATATTAGAACACAGTGTTCTGATTCCGAGCCGACCAGTCTTTTCGCTTAGTCTTAAATGCCATGGAATAGTAATGGTTTTAATTAGCATATATAACTTAGTGTGAGGTATTAACAGTTGTACCAGACTAGTATATTAAGTCGTTTTCGCTAGTTTGATGTGTTGATAAAAAATCCTTGTAGCATGTATATTTCGGATAACATATTTTAACTGATTTTTTTTTAGAATTTTTAAAATCGATGTAAATCAAAGTGTTGATCATCTTTTTTGAAGCTGTCTCATACCAGTGTGTAAACTGGTGAGTCAAGAACATTACAAAAGTAACTCTTCTTATGATATAGTAAGGTGATCAACTATTTGTTTACAATTTTTTAGATTTAAAGAAATATCAGTCAAACTATGTTATCTGAAATATACATTCTAAAGTAAATTGTCTTCTTTCTTCATTTATCGAGATAATTGCATAATCGATATTTTAAAAATGCTTGCCGCTTAAAATAAAATGGAGAAAAAAAAAACATGTACATTTAAAATCTTGAAAACTCTTTCCATACACTTATTTTCTGAGTGTAGTTGTGAAGTTTTCCAAAATCTCCTTATTTTTCACAACTAAATTTTCGAGCGGCATGCTTTTCTGTTGATTGTTACGGGAAATTTCAATATAAAAAAGTGACTTTATGTCAATATATCAACTGCATCTGTTCAGATTGAAAAATTAAAGGGAAATATTTGTACAAAATGGTTATCTGTTAAAATAGTTTACTATATTTTTTAATGAATGAACCAAGGTGGTAAAAATATAGGACTTAAATTTGAAGTGGAGGTGGATACAACTTAGATGTAAGTGGAATGTATGTTTTGCTGTTACACCACTGTCCCAGGTGGAAAAGGAGGGTGGTTGAGCGCTCACAAATATGTTTAACCCACAACATTCTTTACGTACCTGTCCCAAGTTAGGAGCCTGTAATTCAGTGGTTGACGTTGGTTGGTGTCAGTAATATTGGTTTTGGTTTATTGTTTCTACCATAAATAAACCCGTGCGTTTCTCTTTTGAATTTTTTCATGCATATTTTGACATACTGAGGCCTTTTATAGCTTATACCACACGGTACGGGATTTGCTCGATTTTGAAGGCTGTACAGTACCCTATATAGTTGCTAATCCTTTTTATTTTGTTCTTTGGTGTATAGTTGTCATATTTGCAATCATATCGCATCCTCTTTTTTCTATATTCGTCCTATGCCAATATTTTGATGAGCAAATAAAAAAAATTGTATTCTCAATACTAGTTCTCCTGTTTAATCTTTCTTGATTCCGTTTCATTAGCAACTTTGACAGAAAAGGAATTTCAATACTTTCATTCAAAAATATTGGAACCAGAGGCAGGTTTAGGGGAAACCTACCAGGGGGGCCAGCACCCCTTATGGAGCTACATATGTGGTAAATGCATATACATTTTATATGTCACACTTCTAATGTTGCTAAGTTCCCTTTTTCAAAATCCTTAATCTGACCCTTGGAAAAAATTCCATATTTCTGCCTCTTATATCACATCTCTTGACACTTCTTCGTAAGTTCAGATCGACTCATGTCAACAGATTTGTGCTGTAAGCCCAATGATAAACACCAGTATGTCTCTCCTCGTAGTTGGTACTTTTCCAAAATACTATTCAAGAAGCGTTGCCTGCCTGTAGCCAGATTTTCAGAATTCATCGGATATATTTCACCTAAGATATTGGATGGAAATAGAAAAACGCCCTTAACTTTCAAGATCTTCCTCCAATGTACCCGTACAGGCTTTTCTTAGACACAAAAGTCGTAAGGACTTGCTTGTCAGAGCCGATTTGCCTTCTCAACTATGATCTTTGTCACCAAGCCCTTGCAAAAGTTGTAAGAACAAAAGATTTCTGACTTTCAAACACAGATGTCCGACACCCAACTTATACCTAGATCTGCAATGTTTGATAGGAAATAATTAATACGGATCATATTAAGATTCATCGGCGCTCTTGTAATGTTTTAATGCAAATTTTTTGTCCTTAGTGTATATTCCGCTCCTCTGACTGCTATCGTAAAATGTTTTAAAAGACTACAATGAGAAGATTTGAAAGAATCTTTTGTCGCCTTTCAGTTTTATTCAAAGATTACTAATATATCTAGCTCTTGAATTTAACATTGTTCTTTTTGCAATGCTGAACTATTTAGCTAGATACTCAATATCATTTACAAAAACAAAATGAATACGAGAAAGTTACAAAATGTGTAGCAACTTTTTTCGAAATACTCTGAACGGACCCCTATAAAAAAAGCCTACTCGATCAACGGCTTTTTCTCATATGTATCTTCATACAATTATAGTTCAACTGACTGCGTCCTTTATATATATATACGGCATCATTTACATATATTTTAACAAACTGAAACATATAACAAATTCGATTTATTATTTACAATTCACTCTTAAAAGTCAAAATAATGGACCAAAAACAAAAGCATGATACATTCTGAGATATATAATCAAATAAACAAATATTGGTTAATTGATAACCGGATGCTTCTGTCTAGCGGGAAATGTTAGGATAAGGATATTTTTTTTGGTTTTATTACAATCTTTACTAAAATACACAGCATTACAGCTCCGTGTGTGTACTTTGAGGTTCTAACAGCATTATGACTTTCTGAACATATGATCGAGTTGTAAATGCTTATAAACAGAATGAATATAGCTAAAATAAATTGCTTCGCTGAGCGCAGCTGGATACGACCGCAGATGTCCAACCCTGAAAATTTGGGTCAAAATGGACACAATATTCACGCTTGATACAGGTCTGAATTTGGATTGTAACTAAATTTTTGACACAGAATAACTGTAGTCAAAGAACTTCAAATTGGTAATATGATTTGAATTTATATTCAATTTATTGCTTTTGTGCAATACACTATGCTGTTGCGAATTGACACCCCCCCCCCCCCCCCCCCCCCCCTACCAAAAAAAAATTATTTTACCCATGTTTTTTGCTTTTGTGCAATACACTATGCTGTTGAATATTAACCCCCAAAAAAAATATTTGAAGAAATTTTCTTTTAATTTCTGAAATCTGAAATGAGAAAAACTGTCCCCCCTCCAATTTTTTTCACCTTCCCCCTTTCCCTTATTCCCCCAAAAAATTCTTTCCCTCAAGATATGGTCAGTATCTCAATTCAAATTTCTAATGCAGTTTGCAACCAAAATTACCCATTTAAATCGACATAAAAGTTTTAAAATATAAAATGACATACATAGTCATGGCTAAAATTTATATTAATTAATAGGAACTGCTAAAAATAAATTGACAGCTAATCACCTCAAGTCAATCATCATTTCTTAATACATAACTTACAAGCAGTGTAAGGGAGGTAATCAAACTCAATTGTCCTTTAACCAGAAAACCCCTTGTTTTCCCCCTTTTTTTTGCCCCTAATTACTAAATGGTTTGAGCCATAACCCCCCAAAGTCAATTCTTACCATCCTTTTGTTGTATGGAAGTTTGTGGTATAATTTCAGAGAGATGCATACACTTTAACACAAGTTATTGTCTGGAAACTACAAAAATGCTTATTTTGGGCCCCCTTTTTTTGCCCCTAATTCCTAAACAGTTGGGACCATAACCCCCAAAATCAATCACAACCTTCATTTAGTAGTTATAAACCTTGTGTTAAAATTTTATTGATTTCTATTTACTTATACTAAAGTTACTATCCGGAAACCATCTGTCTTCGAACGACGCTGACGACGACGACGACGCCGGATGACGACGACGACGACGTGATACCCAATATACGACCAAATTTTTTTTAATTATTTGTTACGTTATTACGAAGATATTAAGATTCCAAGGTATTTTTGTTTCTATTATCACGTTGTTATAGCCAAAAAAAAACAAAGTATATGAGAAACTATAGTCCACAGTGCTGTTTTTAAGATATGAGATGATTCGTTTCGATCAATAAGGTTGATGTAAAATTTTACAAAAAAATGTTAAATTTGCAATATTGTTTCACAATTGTCTTCAACAGCAATATGTACCGTTGAATAACACAGCAACAGCAATATGTACCGATGAATAACATATCAACAGCAATATGTAGTGATGAATAACACATCAACAGCAATATATATATATACCAATGAATAACATATCAACAGCAATACGTACTGATGAATAACACATCAACAGCAATATGTACCGATGAACAACATATCAACATCAATATGTACCAATGAATAACATATCAACATCAATATGTACCAATGAATAACATATCAACATCAATATGTACCGATGAACAACATATCAACAGCAATATAAACCGATGAATAACATATCAACAGCAATATGTCCCGATGAATAACATATCAACAGCAATATGTACCGATGAACAACATATCAACATCAATATGTACCGATGAACAACATATCAACAGCAATATGTACCGATGAACAACATATCAACAGCAATATGTACCGATGAATAACATATCAACAGCAATATGTCCCGATGAATAACATATCAACAGCAATATGTACCGATGACTAACACATCAACAGCAATATGTACTGCGGAATAAAATATCAATTTTATAGCAATATGCACTAATATATATTGAACATTTTTCAACGTCTTTCAAATGTATATTCATGAAAACTTTTCAATGTTCAAATTCGAACAGGTTTCAAAACTTCCTGATTTAGACCATACATGTATGTGAGTGCAAAAAATTGGTCCTACCGCTTTCCGTTCACCCTTTGAATGTGTTTGCCATCCGTTTGTCCAAAACCTGGACATCGTTTTACGAAAGTGTATTTAGTGCAATTTCGTGTATTTCATAATTACCTTATGTAGTTTAATGAAAAGGGATTATTTCAAGAAAATCAATCATAAAATAATGTAAAAAAGATAAATCATAAAATACAGCTGCCCGATTTTCAAATATAATAAGTTAGCAATTAAAAAAACAAACGTCTAAATATTGATATACAAAAAACTGTAACTGAAAATCGTCCAATCCCTACCCAGGTAAGAGATAACTCTTATAATATACAACACTTGCTAGGTGAAGGAAGAGGAATACGACTGGTGTGACTTTTGCATTCACAAACTAATCATGTTCCTTTGTCAAAAGAAAACAATACAGAGATGGGAGAACTCTAGTCATGGAGATTATCTGAACATTATTTAAATATTGAATGTAATAGACTTTGAACTAGCTTTCAGGAACTGCGAGTGCTCGCATATCGGTGCTTGGTGTCTATTGTTTTTTATGTCATAGTTGGGGTTTTTGTGTGCGTCATACCTATCAGGTTTTTACAGTTTGTTCTTACGTTGTGCCATTGTCCCAGGTAAGGAGTTGGTTGGGCACTCACAAACATGTTTCATGTGCCTGTTCCAAGTCAGTAGTCTGTAATTCGGTGGTTTTCGTTGGTTCGTGTCTGTCATAATTGTTTTTCGTAAATTGTATTGTACAAACTAGGCCGGTTTTTTTTCTCGATGCTGACTATGCGGTATGGGTTATTCTCATTGCTGGAGGTTGTATACTATTACTATACGGTGACCTATGCTTGCTTATATCCACGTCATTTGAACTCTGGTAAATAGTTGTCTCATTGGCAATCATACCACATCTCCTCATTTTTGTCGAGCCTTCGACTTTTGTCGAAAAAGCGAGACATAGCGATCCTACATTCCGTCGGCGTCGTCGTCGTCGTCGTCGTCGTCGTCGTAGTCGTCGGCGGCGTCCACAAATATTCACTCTGTGGTTAAAGTTTTTGAAATTTTAATAACTTTCTTAAACTATCCTGGATTTCTACCAAACTTGGACAGAAGCTTGTTTATGATCATAAGATAGTATCCAGAAGTAAATTTTGTAAAAAAAAAATACATTTTTTCCGTATTTAACTTATAAATGGACTTAGTTTTTCTGCCAGTTAACATTACATTCACTCTGTGGTTAAAGTTTTTAAAATTTTAACAACTTTCTTAAACTATCCTGGATTTCTACCAAACTTGGACAGAAGCTTGTTTATGATCATAAGATAATATCCAAAAGTAAATTTTGTAAAAAAAAATTACATTTTTTCCGTATTTTACTTATAAATGGACTTAGTTTTTCTGCCAGGAAACATTACATTCACTCTGTGGTTAAAGTTTTTAAAATTTTAACAACTTTCTTGAACTATCTTGGATTTGTACCAAACTTGGACAGAAGCTTGTTTATGATTATAAGCTAGTATCTAGAAGGAAATTTTGTTAAAATTTTGTTCCATTTTTTCTCTATTTTACTTATAAATGGACTTAGTTTTTCTTCCAGTTAACATTACATACAGTCTGCAGTTTAATTTTTTTAAACATTTATTAGATTCATAATCTATCCTGGATTTTTACCAAACTTGGACAGAAGCTGCTTACAATCAAAAGATAGTATAGAGAGGAATATTTTTATTATTTTTTTTCCTCGTTTTTGTTGAGCCTGCGATTAACAGCAAAAGTAGGCGAGACACTGGGTTCCGCGGAACCCTTACGAATTTTTATATGCACTCTTTTCAAACAATATGCAAATACCGTGAACCATTTCATATAGGTCAAACGTGTGTTTCAAAAATATTAAATTACTATATAACTTATTCAGAGACATTAATAGTACTACATAATTATGTATGGTTTTATTGAAAGATTTTTTTCTTGCAAAAATTGCATCGCCATTGATTTACTGTCCCGTATGTTTGGTGCACTTTATTTTAATGAACGTAATGTTGCAAAACGTATGTGTACCCATGTTACCTGCATGCCAGGAAAGGTACGGTCATTTAATAATAAAAAAAACTGACTAGACAATTTTAACCTCCATTGGTCGTATTACAACACATTATAAATGTCACCTACACCTACGGCGAATGTCAAACTTTTTGTACCATAAATGACAAATATACGGAGAATACAAGCTCATGTTAACAATATTAAAGATAGTATTTTATGAGGCCTATGTACAAACGCCATTCAATGTTGGTTCTATATATATAGGCATATTCATATAATTCAGTTTAATGGATTTTTTTATATGTATAGTTTTGAATATAAGGGTTGTGGGGAAGAGTCGTTTAAGTGTAAAAACAAAACCTGAATTTAACCTTGTACCTGACCGTGCAGTGTTGGTGTAAAACTGAAAAAAAATTAAACGTTCTTCCATTATATTAACTTTTACCATGTGCACCAAAATTGATATTTTAAAAAAATCAAGATTGCTCTCTCTCTCTCTCATTTGGTCATCAGTTTCCCCGTCATATCTATATAGAGGCACTTGATAAATATGAATAGCTATTTATGTTCCCATCTAATTTACAAGAGACAGATAAATGTTTATTTGATTCAAATGAACATTAATTAATGTGTGTTTTCGGAAATTTGCAGTTAAAGCAGAATGTATCTATCTCTAGTTACTTCATTATTGAAACACTAAAGGTTTGTGTTTCTCGTGTCTTTATTAAAACATTAATCGTAATTTGACATTCACCAGGAGTGAAACATGTAAATTATTATTTATTACAAATGTGACGGTGGAAATAACAGTAGAGGGAGAGCCGGGGTAATCAATTACCTGTTTGTCGTCAATGGCAAGTGTACAATTTTCATGATAACTATGATTTTAAAGTTTTTGTGAAGAAAGAAGTCATAATTAAAAAGGGTAATTTTTGTAAGTGTATATGTCAGCAGATCATATAAGGCATCAATGATATTTAAATGGGCGTGTACCTTTTTAGTCGTTTAAAGTTAGATATTTCTTCTATTCATTTTTTCTCTCATAATATTGCTTCTTCATGGGTCCCATCTAAATCCGCAAACGACTGTTTCAAAGAATAACAGCTAATTGACACTTAAAAGGTTAATAAATCTATAGATAACTTATTATCATGATTATCAAAATTATCAAAATAATTATGTAATAACAGTTGGAAGTTCTATCAATTAACAAGTCAGTGTCAAAGGGAAATAAAGCCGTAGTAAGTACAAAGATAGCTTTGAAAAATAAAATAACAATTACATTATCATATTTATTCAGACAGGATAATCCCCTTCAAGTTTTCAATGATGTCGTAACAATTCACCTGCAGGACACATCAAACATTGCATGATCTTACATAAATTAATTTGCCTGTGGATAAATTCCCTGTCCCTTTCAAGGTCCTAACCATTGTATGACAGTTTCATTCGCTATAAATCATAATTTATTACAGTGTAACCTTTTAATAAAAAAAAATCTGTTATTATAACTATTTATTGTGAAAATTCGTACGGTAAAATTTTGTTCATACTACAGAAAATTGTTTAGGCTCTGAAATGTCATGGGAACGTGTGCACATAAATTGAGGTTCAATGGTTTTATATGTTTAAAAAAATCAGTACACTTTCATCACAAGAAGACGAGGAAAAGGTTTCCAAATTATCATATAATTTATCTTGTGTCCTTTCATTATTGTGACATTGTAAAATAATTTTAGTCAAGGGCAAACGAACGTCCTTGCAAATACAAATACGTTCACCTGTAAAAGTGACACAAAATTTATTGCCGAGGGGCAAAAGGAGGCGTGGCAAAAAGATATTGCATTATCACGTGACTTCATAATTCTCTTTACTTTCGAATTATTAGTTCATGAAAATTCCTTTAGCGAATATAGGATAAAAGTAAAATTCTGTTCTTATTTTGAAATAAAACAATTTCAAATCTTAAGGAATTTTAGGTGATTATTTCGCAATTCCATTTAAAAATGTCAGAGTCAGTGTGTTGACGTCACAGAATTCGTAATTTTCATTGGTTCCTCAAATCAAGCTTTCCATTGCAGTGACCGTCGGACACGATGGCGTCGACGAAGGTTTCCAAGTCTAAAGAGGTAAATATTAACAATTTATAATATTTAAATGTTAAAGAAAATGGTAACTTCAACTCATGGCATGCCAGATTAACCATTATCATTTTTCTACTTTTATTTTAACAACACGCATCTTTGTAAAACGTTACGTTTTGTGGTATATTTGTAGCCGCCTCACTTGCATCTTTGTGCCGGTTCCCAAAATTTATTACCGTAATCTATCAAGTGTATTATGTTTAACAATTTTGGTTTAGGTCTGAGAATTACTATTTCAGTTATATTCATTGCATTGAGTCATATAACTCTATTCATTGGTAAATGTGTAGTGACCTACTTTTCACCCGGATCCATATTGATTGATTATGATGCATTTATCGATGCATTCCCATTTTTCCCCAAACAGCAAAAGCCTCATAACGTGAACTTTACTGAAGTTAACATCTACGATTTAATATTATTACTGAAACAAGTTCTGTAATACCTTTCAAAAGCCAGAAAAACATGGTTTATCAAAAGGTCATTTCTCTCACATTTTGGAGGTCATTTGACGTTTTTCACTGAACCATATCATACAGTATCAATTTCGTTTGTTCATGATAGTAGCATGTTACAAGTGTGTGGAAATAAGGTCTACGAAATATGGTTTTGTCTTAATTTATTTCTTAATAGCAATTATTGGTACAAATGTTTAGTTGGGGAACTGTACTTGTCATTATTTGTGCCATCTTTACTCAGTTGTCTTCATACTGTGTACCCATTGCCATTGATATAACTACAATGGACAATTTTGCATGGTAACTTTTAACTAGTTAAGAAGATCCTTATCAATGGTTACCTTACCCAACATTGGGTATCAACTCAGTGATAAAAAAACTGATGAACTGATTTTAGCACCCCCAAACATACACTTTTACAGATTGTTTATTTTTGGCATTAATAGAATTAAAAGACGAGAAAGTGAGATGAAAGTATGTTTCTTCACTATTTCAAAGATTTAGAACTAAAAGGCAATTCACTCAAAACTCTGTAGACTACTTGATTGAACAATTTCACTCCACAAACCAACAGGGTTATGATAGACATCAAATTTAATTTGAAGAATAACATGCAATCAATTTAACTTAGCATTGAAATATGCACAAGATTAATGAAAAATATATAATTTTACTTAATCTCAAAGTTTTTAAAAATGAAAGTTTTTGTTTGTTACTTTCTTCAATTGAGCATTTTAAACTTTGTAGTTTTAAATTTCAAGTCAATATTTTAGTAAGTTCACCTGTCCGAAGTCCATATAGTCTATATAATAATAGATTATTTTAACTTTTAATTTGTAAAAAAAGAATAGTATAAAAAAAATATGACAAATTCAAAGACAATATTATACAATATATGCTGCAAATGTGATCGTTTGTCATCATAATGCATATTCAATTCTTTCCAGATTGTAACTTTGGTTTCATATATCTCAGCTACATGTACCTTTCCTTGAATTTATTATTTCAAAGACATATAATTACCAGTACAATTGCTGAATTAAGAATGGTTTAACCATGAATATTCAGGTATCAAGATAAAATGACTGAAGTTCGATTGAGTTTAGAACTTTAAGTGTTACATAGGTTTAGAAGGCAGCCCCTAGACTCCTTGTTTGAAGCTTTCTGTCTCACTTTCCTCTGCTTTTTCATCTTCTTGAATTAAAGATTCCTCCTACAACAAAACTTTTGAAAGTCCTGATTAACAAGAGGCGGATTTAGGGGGGTTGTGGGAAAATTTTAGTTGGTTATATAGGAAATCACTGAAGCGTGACGGGATCGGGCCCCCACTTATGAAAATTTTGTGGATCCGCCACTGTTAACTTGATAAAGTTTTGACCATCAATCTATCTTTATGAAGTTATATCTTATGCTGATATCTGGTTTGGATCTAAATAATTCTAGCACCAGCTTGAGTGAATTCCTTGTTATGCTATCTCTGCATTGAAGACCACAAATGAACATATTACAGACTATAAAAGACAAAGAAGACTAACAAATATCATATTTTGTCAGACAACAATTTTGAATACCACAATATGAAAATAAGATGTGGTATGATTGCCAGTGAGATAACTCTCAACCAGACCAAATTACAGAAGATAGCAACTATAGATCAACTATGAGCAAACCCATACCACATAGCAAGCTACAATGTACATGTATAAAAAGCCCTGAAATGACAAATGTTAAAAAAATAACCAAACAAGAAAACTAACAGTCTGATTTATATCCATGTACAAGTTCTTTTATCTAGGGGTTTGAATAATGTACATATGACATATAAAATATTTGTTTGTACATACAAATTAATAGATGGCCATTGGGATTCTCTTATTCTATCAATTGTATATTGTATATTGGTATGACGTTGGCGTCGTAGTCCGAAGACACATTGGTTTTCACACTCTTACTTTAGTTTAAGTGAATGGATCTCTATGACATTTTACCATAAGGTTCAATACCACAAAAGAAAGGTTGGGATTGTTTTTGGGGGTTATGGTACCAACAGTTAAGGAATAAGGGGCCAAAAATAAGCATTTTTGTAACTTCCAGACATAACTTGTATGTTAGTGTATGGATCTCTCTGACATTGTACCACAAAGTTCCATATCACACAGGGAATGCTGGGATTGATTTTGGGGGTAATTGCCTCAAAATATTAGGAATTAGGGGCAAAAAACAAGCATTTTTCTAGTTTCATGACAATAACTTGTGTGTAAGTGTATGGATCTTTCTGAAATTGTACTACAATGTTCCATATCACAAAGGGAAAGCTGGAATTGAGTTTGGGGGTAATTGCCCAAAACATTTAGGAATAAGGGGCCAAAAATAAGCATTTTTCTAGTTTCCAGACAATAAATTGTGTTCAAGTGTATGGATCTCTCTGAAATTGTACTACAAGGTACCATACCACAAAGGGAAGGCTGGGATTGATTTTGGGGGTAAATACTTCAAAATTTTAGGAATTAGGGGCCAAAAAAGGGGCAAAAAACAAGCATTTTTCTAGTTTCAGGACAATAACTTGTGCGTAAGTGTATGGATCTTTATGAAATTGTACTACAAGGTTCCATATCACAAAGGGAAAGCTGGGTTTGAGTGGGGGTAATTGCCCTAAACGTTTAGGAATTTGGGGCCAAAAAACAAGCATTTTTCTAGTTTCCAGACAATAACTTGTGTTCAAGTGTATGGATCTCTCTGAAATTGTACTGCAGGTACCATACCACAAAGGGAAGGCTGGGATTGAGTTTGGGGGTGATGAATCATAAGGGGGTTCAAAAAATTTGGGGGGGGGATTTTTTTTTCCTTAAAATTTTCCATTTTAAATTGGTTATTTCTGATTTATATATAAAAGCAAATAATAATGATATGGTTTGAATAGGTAAATTAAAATTTTTTAAGTTCTTAGACCACATTCATTCTGTGTCATAAACCTGTGCTGTGTCAAATATTTAATCACAGTTCAAATTCAGTGCTGTATCAAGCTTGAATGTTGTGTCCATACTTGCCCCAACTGTTCAGGGTTCGACCTCTGCGGTCGTATCAAGCTGTGCCCAGAGAAGTATTTTATTTATTATTGTGGCAGGTAGATCCGTAGACGGAAAACTTTCCCTATCCAAACGCATATACCCTCTGATTTTTGGGAAACGTCCAATATATATTTTTATAATTGATTATTCAAATAAATTATTGATACATTCTAATCTTGATATAGTGTAAATTGTACTCTGAAAGCATTTTTTTGTACCATGTATAATATAGATAAGATAAATAAAGTTAAGAATTAAAAAACACATGGCATAACTAAATGCTAACAAGAGCAGTAGATATTTGCACTGAAAATATCTGATTTGTTCATATATCTTAGTGCATGATTTGTGAGGAAATATGTTTGAGATAAACATTTAGGTAGATTATTGATTCTTTCGGTAGAGTAACTGGCTTATTTTCAATAAGTTTTAAGATTAATTTTCATAGTAGGTAATGTAGATCAATATCAGACAAGCAGATAATTGATCCTGTGTTTCTCATTATGCTTTTATAGTGAAAAACTTCAATCACTCTCCTGGCAGCTAAGTTCACATCAGTTATTACCATGAATTGTCTAGTGCATCAATAAAGTCTACATGTGCATTTGCATCCCCCTTTTAGTCTTCACTTAATTTGAAGTTAAAAATATATCTTTAAAACTTTAATAAAATATTATGTATAATACTGGTTGGTTGTGGGAATTATTATACACAATGTCAACCTTTATGACATAATGTCCTTTGTTTGGGGTTTATCTTAAGGTATTGATGATGTAATGTTTACATAAAGTGTGATAAACTATTACATGAATTTAACAAATTTATGTAGAAAAAAAGATAATGAGATTGTTGATCACAATAGTGTAGTGATTTAAAGATCTTTTTCTTGTTACATAAAAACATGGATAAGTAATGATAAGTAGAATGTTGTGCTTGATTGGTTAAACATTTTGTTTGGAACATAAGCATCATCATTTGCATTTGCTAAATATTTTAAAGGAAAATGAATCAAATATTTATGATATTTTGATATCAGTTGTTTATAAAGTAAAGTTGTGTACATTGTATGTGTACTTATCATCAAACAAATAAGGTTAACTGGCAGTGTGTCTTTAAGGTCAACATTCTGATTCAACACAGAGTTAGAATGATCACACAGATTTATTATCCTTTTGTACAATATAAGATGAATGCTATTGAAGACACTGAATCCACATTAATCACCCGCATTTATAGTTTTTAAGTTCAGCAGTCTTGTATTTGATCATCTAATTTTTTAATATTATGAAAGCAAGCATGTATCAAGTATCCTCATTGTGAATGTTATTATCAATGCCCTGACATTATAGCAAGCATGTATCAAGTATCCTCATTGTGAATGTTATTATCAATGCCCTGACATTATAACAAGCATGTATCAAGTATCCTCATTGTGAATGTTATTATCAATGCCCTGACATTATAGCAAGCATGTATCAAGTATCCTCATTGTGAATGTTATTATCAATGCCCTGACATTATAACAAGCATGTATCAAGTATCCTCATTGTGAATGTTATTATCAATGCCCTGACATTATAGCAAGCATGTATCAAGTATCCTCATTGTGAATGATATTATCAATGCCCTGACATTATAACAAGCATGTATCAAGTATCCTCATTGTGAATGTTATTATCAATGCCCTGACATAACAAGCATGTATCAAGTATCCTCATTGTGAATGTTATTATCAATGACCTGACATTACAACAAGCATGTAACAAGTATCCTCATTGTGAATGTTATTTTATCTATGCCCTGACATTATAACAAGCATGTAACAAGTATCCTCATTGTGAATGATATTGTCTATGCCCTGGCATTATAACAATCATGTATTCTCATTGTGAATGATATTATCTATGCCCTGACATTATAACAAGCATGTAACAAGTATCCTCATTGTGAATGTTATTATCAATGCCCTGACATTATAACAAGCATGTATCAAGTATCCTCATTGTGAATGTTATTATCAATGACCTGACATTACAACAAGCATGTAACAAGTATCCTCATTGTGAATGTTATTTTATCTATGCCCTGACATTATAACAAGCATGTAACAAGTATCCTCATTGTGAATGATATTGTCTATGCCCTGGCATTATAACAATCATGTATTCTCATTGTGAATGATATTATCTATGCCCTGACATTATAACAAGCATGTAACAAGTATCCTCATTGTGAATGTTATTATCTATGCCCTGACATTATAACAAGCATGTAACAAGTATCCTCATTGTGAATGATATTGTCTATGCCCTGGCATTATAACAATCATGTATTCTCATTGTGAATGATATTATCTATGCCCTGACATTATAACAAGCATGTAACAAGTATCCTCATTGTGAATGTTATTATCTATGCCCTGACATTATAACAAGCATGTAACAAGTATCCTCATTGTGAAGGTTATTCATTATCAATGCCCTGACATTATAACAAGCATGTAACAAGTATCCTTATTGTGAATGTTATTATCTATGCCCTGACATTATAACAAGCATGTAACAAGTATCCTCATTGTGAAGGTTATTCATTATCAATGCCCTGACATTATAACAAGCATGTAACAAGTATCCTTATTGTGAATGTTATTATCCTGACATTATAACAAGCATGTGTCATCAGTGTTCCAGCTTGAATCTCAGGGCAGAAGGGTGCTAGTTGTCTGAAAGGGCACTTTAGCGTTATAACCCAGATTTTAAGGGCAATGTTGGACAGTGTATAAATTACCTTGAATATTGCTAGACTCAGCTGGAGAACATTAGTTGTATTTAAACCATATTCAGAAATTAATGTGTTCTTGATGTTGGTTCCAGTAAGAATTTTTTTTCATCAAATTATCATACCATTAAGAAAAGCATATCATTTTGATGTTAATCTAAACAAACTTGTACATTTGGTATGGAAAATAATCATCAGAAATTTCAATGTTTTATAACTTATACCAGTGTTCCCGCCTGCCCTAAATAGAAGGGCGGCCCGCCCTTGGTGCCCTTACCCCAGCCCTTCTGCCCTCCAAAGTAAAAGAATGCACCCCTCTGCCTTTTCAAAAAAATAAAATTTTCAAATTTCATGCCTACCGGCGTTTCCGGTAAAATTGTTACCTGATTGTGTAACACTAATTAACTGACAATGGGATTAAGTTAAATACCTAGTGCTTTGGCAGTTTAATCACCTTTGTTAATGATTGTTTACTGCTAATTAGTGGATTTAAGATAATTGAACAAATACTAGATATTTAATACAGAATGAAATGTCCACATGTTATCCATTTGTAATGTTTATGTACAGCATGTACACCTGAAAAAATTTATCTCAGTAGGCATAACATAAAAAATAAAATCTTAAACAATTTTAAAGGCATACATAGTTTTGACTTAATTGGTAAAAAATGTTTTGTTTCATAACCATGAGTATGAAATTTAAAGAGGAATCAAAGAAATTTGTACTTTGAACATAACAAGATTCACTTCCTGTTTTTAATACTTCTTGTATTTTATAATCCTCCTGACATAGGAGCACTCAACAAAGTTATTTTTGACAATGATGGAGAAAAAAGTAACTGTTTATACCTTCTGCAATATATAATAGCATCAATATAAAATATGATTATCTCCTGTCTCACCTGTTATAATTATAAAACTCCTTACTGAGGAGTACTTTGGTGTGCACTTAAAAATATTTTTTTGTAACAATTCAAATGATAATAAATAACTCTCAATAACATATATACTATATGTTTGAACAAGTTATTTAAATGTAGATAATTTAATTACATTCAACATTCAATTTTGCATGTATAACTCCATCTTTCAAAACTACTTGTTTATTTTGGTATAAGTTATAAAACATTGAAATTTCTGATGATTATTTTCCATACCAAATGTACAAGTTTGTTTAGATTAACATCAAAATGATATGCTTTGCTTCATGGTATGATAATTTGATGGAAAAAAAAATCTTACTGGAACCAACATCAAGAACACATTAATTTCTGAATATGGTTTAAATACAACTAATGTTCTCCAGCTGAGCCTAGCAATATTCAAGGTAATTTATACACTGTCCAACATTGCCCTTAAAATCTGGGTTATAACGCTAAAGTGCCCTTTCAGACAACTAGCACCCTTCTGCCCTGAGATTCAAGCTGGAACACTGTATACCAAAATAAACAAGTAGTTTTGAAAGATGGAGTTATACATGCAAAATTGAATGTTGAATGTAATTAAATTATCTACATTTAAATTACTTGTTCAAACATATAGTATATATGTTATTGAGAGTTATTTATTATCATTTGAATTGTTACAAAAAATTATTTTTAAGTGCACACCAAAGTGCTCCTCAGTAAGGAGTTTTATAAATATAACAGGTGAGACAGGAGATAATCATATTTTATATTGATGCAATTATATATTGCAAAAGGTATAAACAGTTACTTTTTTCTCCATCATTGTTAAAAATAACTTGTTGAGTGTTCCTATTCAGGAGGATTATAAAATACAAGAAGTATTAAAAACAGGAAGTGAATCTTGTTATGTTCAAAGTACAAATTTCTTTGATTCCTCTTTAAATTTCATACTCATGGTTATGAAACAAAACATTTTTTACCAATTAAGTCAAAACTATGTATGCCTTTAAAATTGTTTTAGATTTTATTTTTTATGTTATGCCTACTGAGATAAATTTTTTCAGGTGTACATGCTGTACATAAACATTACAAATGGATAACATGTGGACATTTCATTCTCTATTAAATATCTAGTATTTGTTCAATTATCTGAAATCCACTAATTAGCAGTAAACAATCATTAACAAAGGTGATAAAACTGCCAAAGCACTAGGTATTTAACTTAATCCCATTGTCAGTTAATTAGTGTTACACAATCAGGTAACAATTTTACCGGAAATGCCGGTAGGCATGAAAATTGAAAATTTTATTTTTTTGAAAAGGCAGAGGGGTGCATTCTTTTACTTTGGAGGGCAGAAGGGCGGGGGTAAGGGCAATAAGGGCGGGCCGCTCTTCTATTTAGGGCAGGCGGGAACACTGGTCATGTATCCTCATTGTGAATGATATTATCTATGCCCTGACATTATAACAAGTTAAATAACATTCATCACAAATTTTTCAAATGCATTTAAGTTACTGTAACTGCTTCAAAAATCTGCTACAAGCAAAAAATATTTTGATTCCCAAAACAGTTTTTGTGTACACTATGGTTTAAATTTGAATTGAAGGTGGTTAATATATTCAACTCATTATTGAAGACACAATGTTAAATTATTCATCAGTGTACTGATCTTAGACATAATGTAATAAAAGGTCTGTCAATTTATCACAGCAGGTCATAATTGATTATAATATTATTTGTCTGGGGCTTTAAATATTTTTATAAACCTTCCATTTTTAATTGGGATACAAATTTATATAATACAATGTAGATCTCAATTGAATTTCAAGCAAAGCAATTTTTACATGTAACTTTAACTTCATAGACATGGTATTTTAAGAGAGATACTGACAACTTATGAAATAAAAATGCAAACACAAAACATGTATAACTACAGTTTAGGTTATTTTTAACCTATAGTTAACTTAAGAACTGATTTCATGTTAGCATCTTACCCCAACGGTTTGGTTCAAACTTAAAGACTTTAATAATAAGACTTTTGTATGTATGCAATTTTTTTGGAATAATACAAAGCAGTTAAGAATACATCAGTTAGAAGAAAAAACAATGAATGTTGCACATACAAAATCTAATTTATCTCATTCTGTTTAATTGATTGGTTGAAATGTAAAATCAAAATGGATATGAAAACAAACTTTTACTTGCATTAAATTTTCTGGGGAAAATTTTAAATAAAATCCATCTTTGAGGAACAATTCATATGCTGAAAACTTAATTTAATAATAAACCCTTTTATATAGGATCAGGGTAACAAATTATTGATAAGGCTAAATTGATCAAAAAAGACCTTTTAAAATTCCATATGTGAAATCAGCAATATGTTGACAAGAAATAAACAAAAATGGTACCTTTGTTGACTGCATTAAACAGTCTAATTAGTCTACCTTGATTCACCTTTCCTTGCCATACAAAAACATTTTTTTACAATGATATAGAGATTGCAGAAGTTTACAATTATATCTATATTTGTTTGTAGGACAAGAGGGCAGACAGCTACAGATATGCTGTCACACCTGGTGGAGATGATGGCAAGAAAAAGTCCAAAAAGACAAAGAAGAAGGAAAATCTTGATGAACTTAAACAAGAACTTGAAATGGATGAGCATAAAATACCACTTGAAGAATTATATGAAAGACTAGGATCTGATCCCAATTCGGTATACATCTATTTAAACTTTAAACATTACATAATAAATTAAAAACAGGAAGACCAGAAAATGTTGTCTGACCAGACTAAAGAGGTTTATATATAGCAGCATTTTATTTGTTAGTCAGTCAGGTAGCTGGTACATGTATTTATGCACCATTCCATCCAGGATTTGATCAGGGCAAAGTTCTAATCTAAAAAGGGTATTTTAGCCATAGGCACCCTTCTCTGCAAAATAAACCTTAATATCACACAAGGTGCATTTTAGAGAAAAAGACTTGGTCGCATTCTTCTGTTAAAAATTGATTCCTCGGGTGTCTATCCTACTGAAACTTGTTATGTCACAAATCTACATGAAACTATCTACAAAACAGTATATAACAAGTCTTGTTTCTGCTGTCAGAATCATTCATAGCAGGCCTTTTTAGTACGTCAGCAGCAAAATAATAAAATATTGTTTTTTTTCTTGCAGGGTTTGAGTTTAGAAGAAGCAAAACGTATTTTAGAAAGAGATGGTCCAAATGCTCTAACGCCGCCACCTACGACTCCGGAGTGGGTGAAGTTTTGTAAACAATTGTTTACTGGGTTCTCGTTACTATTGTGGATAGGAGCTATTTTATGTTTTATAGCTTATTCTATTCAAGCTTCTCAAGATGAAAGTCCACCAGGTGATAATGTAAGTATACTGAAATCATATAAGATCAGAGTTTCTATGTTTACATGTAGGATTAACAAAAAACATTAGATTTTTTTATTTTACTTGTAGTTAATCAATGGTTCAGAAAAATAAATGTAGCCTAGACATTTCCTTATATTGAAAAACCATATATCACTTTTCTTAGTTGAAGTCGATGACATTGGCTTTAGAGATCATCACTTTATCACTCTGCTTGTCTGATAAAAACCCATATCAGTGTAGTTGCTTGATATTTAGAATTATGACAGAAAAAGTTTAAAGGACAATTTATGAAAAGAATGATATTAGAATACATGTATTTTGAAAAACTTCCATTAGTTATACATTCAACATAAAACAGGATAATCAAAATATACAAGATACGGGCATATTCGCCATCAGCTTGACCCCATTACCAGCAAACAGATATAAAATGTTGGTTAAACTAAATGGAAAGCATTTTCAATTTAATTTTTGAACAATATGAATATGTTATATATTAAAAAAGAATGTAAAAATGTAGGTGAAATAATTATAAAATGTGGTGTTTGGTTTTTTTTTTTCCAGTTATATTTAGGTGTTGTATTAACAGCTGTAGTAGTTGTCACTGGTTGTTTCTCTTATTACCAAGAAGCCAAAAGTTCTAGAATTATGGATTCCTTTAAAAACATGGTTCCACAAGTATGTATAAAAATGAGTATTTATAATACCATCAGTTTGTGTTTTGATTTGTAACTAGATGGGTTGAATGAACAGAAGAGAAAGTTTAAACATATAAACAAATCTTGATTTGCACGAACTCGAGTTAATATACAAAGGTTTTGCTCATGTACTGAAAGTGGCAACTTCTTATGGTTAGAGACACTTGTAATTACTGAAAGTGGCAACTTCTTTTAGTTAAGAGACACTTGGAATTATTATCATCTATGACCAATTGCTCTCTTGATTTAAACATATTTATGCACCTATACAAAAAACATAAATTAAAATTAGTTTTGTTTAGTTTGGGGATGTTTCTGCAAATATAACACTAAAACTATATTTCTTATGTCAAATTCTATTTTCATGTTAATTAAAAAAATTCAATGAGAAATGCATAAAAAAATCTGAATATAATTGAAAGCAACATAATAAAAAATAACAGATCATATATTTTGATTTTAAAAATTGATACATTTTTTTTTTGTAGTATGCAAGAGTACTCCGAAGTGGAAATACATATGAAATAAAAGCTGAAGAGATTGCATTAGGAGATATAGTTGACGTCAAATTTGGAGACAGAGTTCCTGCTGATGTCAGAGTAATTGTAGCTCACAGTTTCAAGGTTTGTCACTATAGATAATAATTGTAATGTTTGTTTGTTTGTTTTTTTTTTAAATTGGCTAATTTTGAAGTTAGACTAGAATGTGCCAATACAATAAAGAATGTCTGTATATATAGCTTATATTAAGCTGATATTCATAAATTTATATTTAAAAAATTAAATAAGATGAAAGTACTGTTAATCTAAATGTTTCTTTTAAACTTAAAGGCAAACATTACAGCAGCTAAATTTTGACTCTCAGAAAACAATCCAAGTTTTGTTAACAGTTTGATGACATTTTGTAAATGATTTGAATTACAGGTTGACAATTCCTCACTGACAGGAGAATCAGAACCACAGACCAGAAATGCTGACTTCACCAATGAAAATCCCCTAGAGACTAAGAATTTGGCTTTCTTCTCTACCAATGCTGTGGAAGGTATTATTTCCATAAATATTGCATTGAAAAACAAATCTGTATTGTTCACAAAATGTTTTTGGGGACTTGGACAAAATATAACTGTTCCCTATCTTTCAATGTTTTGCAGGATGTGTAATCTGTTCTCAAGTTTTGATGATAATACTAAAATAGAAACCTATTTATTTGAAGATAGGCCAACAAATGCTCGTAAATACATTTTAACAAGATCAAACGGTAGTAGGAAAACAAAGATACTTCATAAAAATGACAAAAAAAGGAATATTGAAGAAAGAATCATAATAGTGTGATTTTACAATTTCTTTACAGGAACATGTAGAGGTATTGTTGTAAGAACTGGTGACCTCACTGTGATGGGACGTATTGCTAACTTAGCCTCAGGATTGGATGTTGGAACAACACCTATTGCTAAAGAGATTGCTCATTTTATCCACATAATTACTGGTGTAGCTGTATTCTTAGGAGTGTCATTCTTTATCATTGCATTTATCTTGGGATATTTCTGGTTGGACGCTGTTATCTTCTTGATTGGTATCATCGTAGCTAATGTACCTGAAGGTCTCCTGGCAACTGTCACTGTAAGTTGTTCATTGTTATCAGAAGCAGTTTGAAATATGTCAGATTTATAATTGTGGTTTTATTTTTTTTCCTTCAATTAATATATTTGGAGGTCAAGTTAAAGGCAAGAATATTTTTGGGAGAAAAAATGAAATTTGTTGAACGGTTTGAGAAAGTGTCTGCTTAATTTAGTAATGAAACAGGTTTCCTAGTTTCTATAAAACTTGTGCTGAAGTGGTTCATTTCATTGAATAAAATGTTCTTGTTCTAGGTATGTTTGACACTGACAGCCAAACGTATGGCTAGCAAGAATTGTTTGGTAAAGAACTTGGAAGCTGTAGAGACTTTGGGATCCACATCAACCATTTGCTCAGATAAGACTGGTACCTTGACACAAAACAGAATGACAGTTGCTCACATGTGGTTTGATGGTAAAATTGTTGAGGCTGATACCAGTGATGATCAGACAAGTAAGTAAACAATAAAAACATATAACTAGTTTAAATTTCATGCTTTCTTTCTTTCACATGATTATAGGCAGAATGGCTTACATGTTACAAACTAAAGCTGAAATGAATAGAATACTTCTTTACTGTTTCTATGTTGTACCTACCTTAACAATTTTGATGGCACTTTTGGTTGATGATTAAACTGTGATTAGAATTGTTTCTAATTAAATGTTTGCCACATTTATTGGAGTATTAATTCCCTACTATAGTTGTATGTTTATTATTAAAAGTCTGATTTACTAGCTCATATCAGTTACATTAAGATAACAGAATTGAAGATGAAAACAAACTTCTTTTCAGATGCTACATACGGAAGAGCAGATGAGTCGTGGATGGCTTTGTCAAGAATTTCTATGTTGTGTAACCGTGCTGAATTTAAAGGAGGCCAAGATAATGTTCCTGTATTGAAGAGGTACAGTACTTTTGAATGTATAATACAACTGGTGGAATATTTCTCAATTATATTTTATATTAAATCACCCTTAAAGATATTGGCCAAGAGAAGAGGTATAACACCTAGTATAAAATTGTTTGTTTTTCAGAGAGTGTACTGGTGACGCATCAGAATCTGCTTTATTGAAGTGTGTTGAATTGTCTATTGGAAAAGTAACAGAATTTAGAGGCAAGCACAAGAAAATCTGTGAAATTCCCTTCAATTCTACCAACAAATACCAAGTATCTATTCATGAGACAAATAATCCCAATGATCCACGATATCTCTTAGTGATGAAAGGTGCACCTGAAAGAATCCTTGACAGATGTGGAAGTGTCTTGTTTCAAGGTAAAGAGATTCCATTGGACGACAACTTCAGGGAATATTTCAACACTGCCTACATGGAATTAGGAGGTCTTGGAGAAAGAGTATTGGGTAAGTTTATTGAGAAATAGTAAAAACATTTACAAGTTCAAAACTAATTATATGTTTTCTTTATCTAAAGTAGATCCTATTTAGATAGTTATATCTAAGTTTATATTGTTGATATTATTTTTAGTTGAGTAAATACTTGTATGAGAATTTATTTTTAAGTTTTTGCAGTCAATTTATATTGACATAATAATTATACACATTAAATCCTTTGACATTACTTTTTATTGACAAAATAGCTTTATTGTCCTAATAAAATACTATGTTGACATATTCAAAGCAGATAGTTCTATTAGAATCAAAAACTAACTACAAAGATATAATATGAATCTGAAGCCCTTTTCACAAAAAATCTTAAGTGTAAAATTTATCGTAAGTCTAAAATATTCCTCAACAATTCAACTAAATATTTTTTATCGTAAGATTAATTTTACACTTAAGATTTTTTGTGAAAAGGGCTACAGGTATCTGTGTGAAATACTACTTACTGATTGCTAAAGAAAACATGGATTTAAATAAGAATTTTTTGTTTGTAGGATTCTGTGATTATTTCTTGCCATCTGATCAGTACCCTATGGGATATTCATTTGACTCTGAAGAACAGAATTTCCCATTGTCTGGTCTTAGATTTGTTGGACTAATGTCTATGATTGATCCTCCTAGAGCTGCTGTACCCGATGCTGTAGGAAAATGTAGAAGTGCTGGTATTAAGGTGAGGAAAATTTTTCACAACATATGTCACTTTCACATTAGCACAATTAGAAATATACATATTTTTTTCATTAGAAGTTATTTTAAATTAACAATATTTTGAAAACACTTTCAAAGCCGCTGCTTTGTGATGCAAAAATTCTTTTAAAACTTAAGGGAATAAGATCTTTAATCTTTATGAATATGATTTAAAGAATAAATGATTTAGAAAATTGAAATGTTCAATACATTTGAAATGATTATTTTTTAGGTTATCATGGTTACTGGTGATCATCCAATCACAGCTAAGGCTATTGCTAAGGGTGTTGGTATCATTTCTGAAGGAAGCAAGACTGTTGAAGATATTGCAGCTGATCGTGGATGTCCAATTGAAGAGGTAGAACCAAGGTTAGTAGAAGGTTACTGCTTGAATTACTCAATATGAGGAAATTACGGTCTAATTAAAGTGGTCTTACTTTTAGAAAATATTTTTCTGTACATTCAGCAAGAATTCTAACTTTTTGGCATACAAATTGAATACATTAAAATTTTCAGTTTAACAAACTATGACTTTTGTTTACAGTGAAGCTACTGCAGCTGTTGTCCATGGTTCTGATCTTCGTGACATGACCCCAGCACAGATTGATGAGATCCTAAAGAACCATCCTGAGATTGTATTTGCCAGAACTTCACCACAACAGAAATTGATCATTGTAGAAGGTTGTCAGAGACAGGGACAGATTGTAGCTGTAACTGGAGATGGTGTCAATGATTCTCCTGCTCTCAAGAAAGCTGATATTGGTAAGAATTTGGTTTTCATTTCAAAAAATGTTATTGTCTTTCATGTAAAAGTTAAGGTTAAAGTACTTTTGTTCTTGAAATTAATATTTTATCAATGATTTTGTGGTTCAGCAAATTTTCACTGTACAAAATCTTGAATCCACTTTATTTTATTTATTTATCAAATATTGTAGATTTTTCTGGAGAAATGTTGTTTGATAGTAACAGGAGAAAACCATGCAGATCAGCCTGAAAAAGTATTTATACAACTTTTAAAGCTTTAGTTCCATATTACAAATTATTTTGCCTTTTTGCAGGTGTTGCTATGGGTATTGCTGGTAGTGATGTCAGTAAACAGGCAGCTGATATGATCTTGTTGGATGACAACTTTGCCTCCATCGTTACTGGTGTTGAAGAAGGTGTGTATAAATGAGCAACTTGGTCCAAGAAGTTCGTTATTTGATATATATATACTGTATTTTTCTCCTCCATATTTACACAGCAACAGTATAAAAAATAGATTTTTTTTCACCACTTGTCAAACTGGGCATGTTAATGCTTAGTACTCTTCCAGTGTTTGTTCATTGTGAAATACTACACACAAAACCAAAGATTGAGCAGCACTCACCCATAAAAAAATGGTTGAAATTCGGAGCACTAGAAGAGTAAGGCACCCATTATATCATTTAGTTTAAATAAAAAAATGAAATGATAAATTGCAGCCAATGAAGTCCTAAATTAATGTAATATATATATATGTAGCTACAACAGGTGGAACAAACATGGCCATCTGTGAGACAGATATTCCAGAAAAGTCAGTCAAAATTTTGAAAAGATAATTTCAACTTAATCATTCACTATACCTTCAGGAACTGACTGATTTTACTATGACTAGAAAGGGTTTATAGTTATTTGAATAAATATGGTATTACAGAAGAGATATATATTTTTCATTTTATTGTTTTATGTTTACAGGTCGCTTGATTTTTGACAATTTGAAGAAGTCTATTGCCTACACTTTGACCTCCAACATTCCTGAAATTTCGCCATTCTTGTTCTTCATCTTATTGGATATTCCCCTGCCACTAGGAACCATCACCATTCTTTGTATTGATTTGGGAACTGACATGGTACCAGCTATCTCCCTTGCTTATGAAGGACCAGAATCAGACATCATGAAGCGTGAACCTCGTGATCCAGTCAAGGACAAACTTGTAAATGAAAGGTAAGTCATGTATATATCTGTCATTGATTATTGAATAAAGAACTATTCTGTCTTCAAGTCCATAGTATAATGATATTTTATTACACAACACTGTTTTGTTTTCTCAATAAAGAAGAAAATAACTGTTTAAAGTTGATTGTTATATGTGGTAATTGTTTTGGGGAGCAATTTTAAGAATAAGTTAATTTGTTGACAGATTGATCAGTATGGCATATGGACAGATTGGTATGATCCAGGCTTCAGCTGGTTTCTTTGTATACTTTGTCATTATGGTAGAGAATGGATTCTGGGTATCCAGATTGTTAGGTCTTCGTGAGGAATGGGATTCCAAGGCTGTTAATGATCTACAGGATTCTTACGGACAGGAATGGGTAAGATTTTTATTTTTGTGAAATTTGAGGCTGAACTAGTCATAAGGAAATCCTGAAAAATAATTAAGAATTGAATGCATATTTATTTCTGAATATTTCGAAGTATCACTGTATGTGTGTAAATGTGCAAATAAAAAGCATTAAATTATTAAATAGCAGGCATGAGTCTAAGTAGTCTTAAATACATTTTGATAGTGTAAATAGTATATTATGCTTGAAGAAGTAATTTAATAAAGTTCAGTATAAGCTGTGTATTGATACCTACACTTTTTTCAAATGTTAAATACAAAGGGAGGGAATTCAAAGGAGAATTAAATGTAGAGGTTTAATCAGGTTGTGCTGCAAACCACTTTCCCATTGTCAATAACTAATTAAACTTGATTAGTTGATTATTTCATATTTTTAAAATTGGTTAGACAGGTAGAAGCATTTTATTGATGAGATTTTTGGCTTGTGGGTTAAAAAGTTAGAAACTTAACCAAACTGCATGTAAATCTCTTAAATAAATGCTTGAAAAGAGAGCTTCCAGCAGTTGCTTTGAAGGAACACTTGTAAATAGATTTGATTTAAAAGTTCACATGTGCATGCTTCCTTTGGTAATCGCTTCAGACTGGCTGGCTTAAAGCATCATTGCTGCTTAGATTATTTATTTTGCCCAAAGTAGTGGTGTTAAATAAAGAAATTGATCAAACATATAAAATTTACTCAAACATGCATAGTAAAGTTTAGTTTTAGTGTAAAAGTTCAGGGATTATTATTTGATATATTTTTTCAGACGTATGGACAGAGAAAGATTCTAGAATACACATGCCACACAGCTTTCTTCGTTTCCATTGTCGTAGTACAATGGGCTGATTTGTTGATCTGCAAGACTAGAAGATTGTCCATTGTTCAACAGGGATTGAAGTAAGTAATCAGTGTTAATTCTGTACAATTCAGTGTTTTCCCTAGAAAAGTTTTGATGCACGGTGGGGTCCATGGTAAATTTGAAGGGCACCACCCAGAACTATCATTACTATTGCATGGTAATTTTGAAGTGTGTTTTGCGCAAAACCTTGTTTGGTATCACATAATTAAATGAGGCTGAAAAGCAATGCCATTTTTGTCGAGCCTTCGACTTTTGTCGAAAAAGCGAGACATAGCGATCCTACATTCCGTCGGCGTCGTCGTCGTCGTCGTTGTCGTCGGCGGCGTCCACAAATATTCACTCTGTGGTTAAAGTTTTTGAAATTTTAATAACTTTCTTACACTCTCCTGGATTTCTACCAAACTTGGACAGAAGCTTGTTTATGATCATAAGATAATATTCAAAAGTAAATTTTGTAAAAAAAAAATTCCATTTTTTCCGTATTTTACTTATAAATGGACTTAGTTTTTCTGCCAAGAAACATTACATTCACTCTGTGGTTAAAGTTTTTGAAATTTTAATAACTTTCTTAAACTATCCTGGATTTCTACCAAACTTGGAAAGAAGCTTGTTTATGATCAAAAGATAGTATCCAGAAGTAAATTTTGTAAAAAAAAAATTCCATTTTTTCCGTATTTTACTTATAAATGGACTTAGTTTTTCTGCCAAGAAACATTACATTCACTCTGTGGTTAAAGTTTTTGAAATTTTAATAACTTTCTTAAACTATCCTGGATTTCTACCAAACTTGGAAAGAAGCTTGTTTATGATCAAAAGATAGTATCCAGAAGTAAATTTTGTAAAAAAAAAATTCCATTTTTTCCGTATTTTACTTATAAATGGACTTAGTTTTTCTGCCATGAAACATTACATTCACTCTGTGGTTAAAGTTTTTCGAAATTTTAATAACTTTCTTAAACTATCCTGCATTTCTACCAAACTTGGAAAGAAGCTTGTTTATGATCAAAAGATAGTATCCAGAAGTAAATTTTGTAAAAAAGTAAAAAAAAATCCATTTTTTCCGTATTTTACTTATAAATGGACTTAGTTTTTCTTCCAGTTAACATTACATACAGTCTGCACTTTAAGTTTTTAAAACATTTATTAGATTCATAAACTATCCTGGATTTTTACCAAACTTGGACAAAAGCTACTTACAATCAAAAGATAGTATAGAGAGGAATATTTTTATTAATTTTTTTCCTCATTTTTGTTGAGCCTGCGATTAACAGCAAAAGTAGGCGAGACACTGGGTTCCGCGGAACCCTTACGAATTTTTATCATTTTTGTCCTTTACTGTCCTTTTTTGGTGTCCAGCATCTTTACATGCATGACATGGTTAACATATCATATGCACTGATTGAGATTATGCTGCTATTTCTCTCTCCATTTTGGGTAGTTTCAGTTGACCCAGAAATGTAGCAAACACCTCTACCAATTTTAAGGAAATATTGCACTCTGCTTTCCCTTAATGGTTTGTATATGTCTTCGTCCATTTTTCACCTTTGCTTATAGGCGTTCACTGTTATATTCAAAGTGTGGTAGACATAAGGGGAGGGGAGGGGTCGGAAGGCACTTTTATTAAAATTTGACAGAATGTGGTTATTTAAGACAGATTAACAATTATATGTAATAATCGATAATAATTTTATGCATTGCCGGTTGAATAAAAATCGCCTTCCGACCACCACCCTCCATCATTTATTTCTAAAATTGCTGTAAAAAATACAATGGACTATTTCCATATTACCAAAATTAATGTGCAATGGGACCACTTTTCTAAAATAGCTTAGGGAAAACACAGCATTTTTTATTCTTCAAAGAGTTTTGTTCATTTCTTAAAAGAAATATATGTTTTTGCTATTTAATGCTTCTTTACACTGTTAGTAAACTGATATTTTATGTGTAAAATGCTACGCATAAGTTTTAACAAGACAAAATGCAAAATTGAGTTTTGTAAAATTATATTTTAAGTAAATAACTTACTTTACTTTTTCAGACAATTATAGTGCATATATTTAATATAATACTTGTTTCTTTCCAGGAATCACCATATGACATTCGGCTTGTTCTTTGAGACTGCACTAGCTGCATTTATGACTTATTGTCCAGGATTGGATAAGGGACTTCGTATGCAAAACCTCAGGTATGTACTTGTTTTCACAGCTGTTTGATTGTCCAGAAGACTATAGTAAATGAATCAAATTAGTTCAACAGAAAGGATAATGGTCTATTGCATTAAAGTTTCTCGACCAAAGCCAGATGCTCTTAATGGTCAGTTTGGTTTAGAAAATGTACTTATCTGTGTAACTATGTAGAACTACAGCTAAAACAGTTGTTTTCAAGGTGTTTGAATTGTGGTGGTTTTGTCACTAAAATTGATTATGTGGAGAATAGTTTTTGTGATTTCGAGTTGTAGAAATTTCTTTTCTTTAAATTTATGTTAATTTTCATTACAGTTTTAATCTTATTGATGATATCTATCCACAAATTATAGCAATTTAAAATGAAAATTTCTGTACCTAGAGTATTCAAGCCTTGGTTCAAAGAATTTCACACATTTCTTAAACCAATATGAGTGCCTTAGAAAAAAAAAGTATTGATATCAAATATAATCTCTGGTAAATATTTTTGCCCCCACAATGTATTTGCACTAATTATAATATTTCTATTTTCTTCATTGCAGGGCCTCATGGTGGTTCCCAGCCATGCCATTCAGTTTAGCCATCTTTATATATGATGAAAGTAGAAAGTTTATACTGCGCCGAAACCCTGGTGGATGGGTAGAGAGAGAAACCTATTATTAAAAACAGTGTGTTGTAAAGAGACCTACACAAACTTTGTACTTAGTGATACAAAAATTTTAGATTTTTTTGAAAAGTGTCATTTTAAAGATGTTCTTAACTGAATTTTTATCCAGATCATTTTACCGTTTTAATATATTGTTGAAAATATTGTGAAAGATGCATGATTAAGACATGGAAGTAACAGGAAAATTTTTGCATTTAATAAAATGGTGATGAATGTATAGTAGTAAGAATTGATGAAGTTAAGTTTTTTTATGTTTTTCTTTTCCAATGATTTTGTGATTTATGCACACAGTGGTTATGTGTCATGTGTCATGTGATAAACCAACGTCATCTTCACACATATGTATGTTGTAAGATTTGTAAATACATCTTTTTTATTATTTTTAGAATCAGATTATTTTATTGTTCACATTCGACTAGAAATAAACATTTTAAATTGGAAATCTGGATTCATTCAGTTGAACAGTTGAAATTTGTATGTTTTGGTTGAATGTGTAAATGTCATGTAGAATGCGAAACTTTTATAGAAAGTAGTCTTTTACCAAAATGTTTTTTTGTATAATTGCTCACATATCTGTACATATAATCTGGCGAACATTCCACAAACATGAATTTCAAGGCATAATATATTCAGATACAGAAAAGCAGTTCAAATGAGAATTTTGACATAAAGCTGACAAAAAATTTGATTTAGTCAAGGGGATCATTATATGGAATAGAATCATATTATAGCAAAATTTATAGTTTTAAAATGGAATCTCATTTCTGATTGTTTGTTGGAAATATACAAGATAACAGCTGATGTCAGTCAAGGTTATAACTTAAATAAAAAGCATTTACTGTAATAGTTTGAAGGTCCTTTGTTGTCAGTGCAATAATGGTGACGGGGCTTTATAACAAAATCATTAAAATATATCTATATACATTGAACAGAGAGAAAAGTAGAGATAAAAAAAAAACATGCCTTTAGGGGGAATTAGTTTTGTATACTAAAATTTCTAAGAAGAGTTTAGAGTTACATATATCCAAGGTATATAACAAATTCTACAGGGGACCTTCAAATAATGTAGTACTTGTAAAATGTAGATTAGAAAAAGAATATGTGGCATGTTTAAAATATTCCCTATACTATCATCCTACCTGTATTATTAGATGAAAGTTCTAAACCCAAACTCTCAAAAACAGGTTAATTTTATTACATATGTATATACAAGTCTGAATTGGTTGTGACACTAATACATGCTACAGAGTATAGGTGATATTTTAAACAGAACTATTTCTAGGCAATACTCCAGAGCAATAAGATGCCTAAATTTTGAATCTCACGTGTCACATATCATCTGATTCATGTGAACCTGTTTTTGTACCTCAGATTCTTCTGGATGTATTACAGAATAAATTTCATTAAAAACTTTAAATAATGTAATATTTTGTTTTATGTTATTGTGTGTTACAGTTGTTTAATTCATTGTGTTGTCACACATAGCAGCCTGATTCTTTGATTTATGCCCAGTGACAGATCAGGAGGAAAACAAACAATAAAACTATTAGGGAATGTTTTACTTCACCTAGATAAGCATTTTGCGGTCGTATATTGGTATGACGTTGGCGTCTTCGTCTCCGGCGATGTCGTCGTCCGAAGACACATTGGTTTTCGCACTCTAACTTTAGTTTAAGTGAATGGATCTTTATGAAATTTTACCATAAGGTTCAATACCACAAAAGGAAGGTGGGTTATGGTACCAACAGTTAAGGAATTAGGGGCCAAAAATAAGCATTTTTGTAACTTCCAGACATAACTTGTGTGTTAGTGTATGGATCTCTCTGACATTGTACCACAAGGTTCCATATCACAAAGGGAAAGCTGGAATTGAGTTTGGGGGTAATTGCCCAAAACGTTAAGGAATAAGGGGCCAAAAATAAGCATTTTTCTAGTTTCCAGACAATTACTTGTGTTCAAGTGTATGGATCTCTCTGAAATTGTACTGCAAGGTACCATACCACAAAGGGAAGACTGGGATCGATTTTAGGGGTAATTGCCTCAAAATTTTAGGAACTAGGGGCCATAAAGGGGCAAAAAAACAAGTATTTTTCTAGTTTCAGGACAATAACTTGTGTGTAGGTGTATTGATCTTTATGAAATTGTTCTACAAGGTTCCATATCACAAAGGGAAAGCTGGGTTTGAGTTTGGGGGTAATTGCCCTAAACGTTTAGGAATTTAGGGCCAAAAAGGGGCCAAAAAACAAGCATTTTTCTAGTTTCCAGACAATAACTTGTGTTCAAGTGTATGGATCTCTCTGAAATTGTACTGCAAGGTACCATACCACAAAGGGAAGGCTGGGATTGAGTTTGGGGGTGATGAATCATAAGGGGGTTCAAAAATTTGGGGGGGGGATTATTTTTTTCTTTAAAATTTTCCATTTTAAATTGGTTATTTCTGATTTATATATAAAAGCAAATAATAATGATATGGTTTGAATAGGTAAATTAGAAATTTTTAAGTTCTTAGACCACATTCATTCTGTGTCAGAAACCTATGCTGTGTCAAATATTTAATTACAATCCAAATTCAGTGCTGTATCAAGCTTGAATGTTGTGTTCATACTTGCCCTAACTATTCAGGGTTCGACCTCTGCGGTCGTATCAAGCTGTGCCCCAGCGGAGCATTTTATTCTATCAGGAGGAAACAAACAATAAAACAATTGGGGAATGTTTTACTTCACCTAGATAAGCATGGCTAACACAGCTGCATACATAGGCCTATTTTTCTAAGAACTTTTTGAATTGGAAACTGCTGTTTTGAATATGTTAATACCAGAATGAAAAAAAATGAATATATGGAGTATACATCAATGAGACAGCAAACCAACAAAAACAACTGAGAAAAGTAATCTTGACATTAATATCAAGTCCTATGTCACACTTAAAAGTCCTCAATTCATCCTCCCACATTTTTTTGAATAAGAAAAATAACAGAATTTACAGTAAAAAGTAGTCCAGAAAAAGACCAACTCTATGATATAACATTAATACTGAAATATTTATGTATTGATTGATTGTTGTTGGTATTTAACACCACTTTTTGCAATATTGGTAATTCAACGGCGGCCAGTTTTGATAAGCGAAGAAAGCCAGTGGGAACAACTGACCTACGGCATCAAAACTGGCAATCATAGTTAATTCAGATAGTATTGGAAAGCACCTGCTAAGTGCGGGCTTGAAACACACAACATCAGTGTTGACAGGCTAGTGATACAGTAGTTGAACCACCTTGATCCCCTCGGCCACCAATGCCTCTTAATGTATTAAAGAATGCTCAGAAACTGAAAGCAAGCAAAAGTTCATGTCCAGATCTCATGCTTTCTGACTATGTCACCAATATTTGAAGGTGATTGATAGACTGTCGCTTTCTCAACTTCCAATGGTATTTTCTGATGTATTTAAGAACCAAAGTCGTTATTGATCGATTTTTGCTTGCCTAACATCCAGTGGCAAACATTTCATGCATATTCAGGACAAGAACTAAACAAATTTGTAAGGGTTCCGCGGAACCCAGTGTCTCGCCTACTTTTGCTATTAGTCGCAGGCTCAACAAAAATGGGGAAAAAATTATTCAAAATTTTCCTCTAGATACTATCTTTTGATTGTAAGAAGTTCTGTTCAAGTTTGGTAAAAATCGATGAAGGTTTATGAATCTAATAAATGTTTTAAAAACTTTAACTGCAGACAGTACGTAATGTTCACTGGAATAAAACTAAGTCCATCTATAAGTAATATACGGAACAAACAGGAAATAAATTTTTACAAAATTTCCTTCTAGATACTAGCTTTTGATCATAAACAAGCTTCTGTCCAAGTTTGGTACAAATCCAGGATAGTTTCAGAAAGTTATTGATATTTTTGAAAGCTTTAGACACAGAGTGAAGTTAATGTTAACAGGCAGAAAAACTAAGTCCATTTATAAGTAAAATACGGATAAACAGGATTTTTTTTTTAACAAATTTTTTTTTCTGGATACTATCTTATGATTATAAACAAGCTTCTGTCCAAATTTGGTACAAATCTAGGATAGTTTAAGAAAGTTATAAAAATTTCAAAAACTTTAACCACAGAGTGAATATTTGAGGACGCCGTAGACGACGACGGACTGTAGGATCGCTATGTCTCGCTTTTGCGACAAAAGTCGCAGGCTCGACAAAAATCGTACAAAAGGTAGGTTCACTGGGATATAGGGCGGATTTTATTTTGAATGATGAAATGTGATAGGGACACACATTTTGTCTTGTAACAGCCGTACCTTCGGTCCCCTCCTAGATTTGTTACAAGGGTTATGTTAATGTGCAGATAGTGTTGTATTCGCTTTTAACCGGTCATCAAAGCAATATAAACGGCGCAGAAAAATATCTCTTGCAATGTCCAAAGTCAATTTTTTTGTGAAACTTAGTCTTGGTTTTTAACTGAAATTGAATAAATTCCAGATATAAAAGAAGATAATCTTACAACAGATTATTTAATTACATGTATCAATAAGTAAATGAAGAGAATGAAAGTTTTTGTACAACTAAAAAGCGTGTAAAGTACCATGTTATTTTTCTGAGAAAGGGACAGCATATTTGATAAGTAATTTGATCTCTGGTTAAGCACATTCCGTGAAAGATTTGTTATGCCATAAAGAAAATAGTATTTCTCGTAACTATAATGACTAAATAAAAATGTTAGAGACCAAAATAAACATCTATCTTTTTTCGAAATCAAAGAAATTTCTAGAACCGTTTCAGTCATCTCAGAGGACAGACTTGAAATTTGCTCCTTCAGTTTGAAATAAAACGAATTCATATTCATTCAAATAAAACAATATGTAGTCAAGTATTAAAGTGTCAGGTTCAAAGCAGAAAACATATAATTGAAGGCTTCAAAACCAAAACGTACCGTAAAAGCCAAATACCGCCTATGACAATTTTGCTTAACCAAACCTTCGTTTCAGTAAAACCATATTAATTATGAAATATCCATTTCCTATCGTGTATCATTTATTTAATTATTATTTAATAAAGCCAAGATATCTTAACATTTGCTCTCATGTCGAAGGATAAACCGCCAACCATCAATAAAAATGTGCAATAAATGATATTTAGATGGTAAAATATCTGTTTTATAAAATAACCTTTAGAACGGACTCGAACACTTCATGTAATAACACTGATTCCAATAACTTTCGCTAAAGAGTCATAAAGTATAGACTAGACCTATAGAAAAGGCGATATATACTAGGGCGGAGGTAAAAAAAGTTTTGAACAATAATAATAACAGTTATAATATTGATTTTTATTTTAATTCGAACATGTTTTGAAAGCAAACACTTTGACTTCAAGTAGATTCAAAGCTACCGTCCCTTGGATTTGGAGCTTGACATAACGACCCCGCATTCTTTTGGTACAGCCGATCACTAGGTGTTCACCTTTCTGGCTTGGACCTTTGTAGTGTGCACACAACTTCATTTCGTTCAAAATTGGCCCAACAGTAACATCCATGTTTCGAGTTCGTTCAGCTAAATATAAGACACAAGTAATTGTTGATATGAATAGGTTTTTATAAGGAGTACAATGTAATAGTTTTTTTTAGTCATTGTTCTAACATACATGAATATTGTCCTAAGTTAAATATCATATTACGCGAGCTTACGATTCACATGTATTATCTGTGAGGGATGATATTCACATTTACCATTAAACTATAGAATAAATAACTTAGTTTTTTAACATTATAATTGATTGATTGGTGTGTTGGTGTTATTGCCACTTTCAGCACTGTGGACTGCTTCGTGGCGGCCAGTTTTTATTGGTGGAGGAAGCAGGAGTGCCTGGAAAGAACCACCGACCTTTGGCAGGAAATTTACAGTATGATAATTCTAGCATTAATTTTGTTCAATCAATAATGAAATTGAAATAGTGAAATAATAATTCGCTTTTAACAACTAGTTTGGTTCCGTTTTGTCAAAGTAAGCAAAGAAACATCGCTAATGAATTATTCACTTGCAAGTGAATAATTCGACCTCATTGAATCCGTATTCATGTGAACTTTAATTGATTCCTATAGCTAGATGTGGGTTACGCATGAACTAGGCGTGTTCAGTTATTTAATGGAAACGAATGTAAACAATGGAAGTGAAACAAGGGTAAACCATTTGGTTGACTGATTCGATCTAGAAAAAAATCATTCTTATACAGGTAAACACGATTATTAATCATATTTTTTAATCTATAATATGAAATCAAAAAGACCTATTTATGTCTATGTTTATATTTATATCGGTTTATATGACCATCGGCAGGTAAACATCGATGGTGAATAAAATACACACCAAATGCTGATACATACTTTCGAGTCTATGCATCGTAAATTGTTTATTTTAGACTTTTTATAATTTGAATAAGCGTTTTAGTAGGTTTTAAGTCGTATACAGGAATTTGAGTCAAATCGGTGAACAAGAATTTGACAGCAATGCCCTTTAAATAATGTTACCTTTTCAATGAAAACCATCATCACACTAGGATCAAAGACAAACGAATTTGAAGCACGAAATATTCAATATTCAATACAAATTATGCAATATATTGTATTTAATGTATCAATCATATGCTGTATGAACGTGCCAAAAAATAACACTAAGAAAATGTTGTATGATTGCCAATGACACAACTTTCCACCAGGGACCAAATACCGTAAGGCCTTCAACAATGAACAAACCCATATCGCATAGCAAGGTGACAAAAATGACAAATGTAAAAAATAAAAAACGAGAAACCTACGGTCTGTTTTATGTTCAAAACAATAAACGAAAAACAAATATGATATACAGCAACAAACGACCATCGAATTATAGGCTCCTGACTTGGGACAGACACATCCAGAATGTGGCGGGGTGAAACATGTTTGCGGACACTGGCAACCCTTCCCTTTACCTAGGACAGAAACATACAGAATGTGGCGGGGTTAAACATGTTTGCGGACACTGGCAACCCTACCCTTGACTTGGGACAGTAGTGTAACAGCGCAACATTAGAACGAACTATAAAAAATTGTTGAAAAAGGCTTGACACATCTGATCGAAACAAAATACACAAAAAATAACCACCAACTAAAGGATCTAAGTAAGACTCAAAGTACAGATCTGAGAGTTTTCGCAATTAATGAAAGCTAGATCAAAGCCAATAACAATAATAAATATATTTTTTTTATTTAAGACTAAAATATCAATCAGTACACAAACAATGGATTTAGTATAAAGACGTCATAAACATGATCTTGTGCAATGACACAATATAGGTATTGACAGAATGTAGGACCGTAAATGTTCATAATTGTATAACAATGATAATTAGTTATGTTTTAATTTGTACTGATAAGAACAATATTCGAAGATCTTATTACAGTGTTAAATTGATAATCTTTTATAATAAGTTTATTTAAAGGATCAAGAGCTCTGTTTAAAATGTTTGAGAAAGTCGATATTACACCAGAGAAAACTATGCCAATGTTTGATACTTTCTAGAGGGAATATTACGTTGCTATACAATAAAATTGAGAATGGAAACGGGGAATGTGTCAAAGAGACAACAACCCGACCAAAGAGCAGAAAACAGCCCAAGGCCACCAATGGTTCTTCTACACTGCGAGCAAATCCCGCACCCGGAGGCAGGCTTCAGCTGGCCCCTAAATAAAAATGTGAACTAGTTCAGAGAAAATGGACGTCACACTAAACTCCGAAACATATAGATGAACCAAAATTAAAAAAAACCATACAAGACTAACAAAGGCCAGAGGTTTCCTAACTTGGGACATACGCAAGTTGTGGTGCTATATTGTTAAGCAAGTTTTTGCTGATTTTAATTTTTTCTGTTTCTATCTAATTTCGATGGGTTTCATTTTAACGTTTTGTTTGTTTTCAGTTAAATTTATTTCACTTTTCATAATAATGTTGCAGATAGTGTATACAAATTTAGAAATACTCAAGTACACCAAAATAATTATAATTATGGAAAACTAATACTTGACTTATGCACAGAATCTCAATTAAGAATTCTTAATGGAAGAACACTGGGTGATTCGAAAGGTAAAATCACTGTCTATAATCATAATGGTGTGTCTATTGATGACTATTGCTTATGCTCATCTGAATTTTTACCAAATATTGTCAATTTTAGTGTAGGTCAATATGAACCAACAATCTCTGATCACTGTCCAATCTCAATTAGTAAAGGAGTCATTTAATAATTATGCTAAGCATACTCTTAGAAGAGTTAAATGGACTAATAAACGAGAAGAAATTTTTTGAAGTCTAATATGTTGAAATTTAACTTTATAATCATTAATTCTGACACAGTCTCGAGTATATCATCAATATTATACAATGCTACCTTTTTATAAAGTAAGATGAATAAAACCCCTGTTAAAGCCAGGAGAAGTAAATGAAGAAAAGCAAAAAAGTCATATTATGATAATGAATGTGAATCTAAATATAGGTCTCTAAAAAGTCTGACTAGAAAATTGTGTACTGAGCCTGGAATGATAGTCTTAGACATAAAGTATTATATCATAAAAAGGAACTAAATAAACTCATAAGGAAAAAATATAGACAATTTAGACATAAAATGATAAAACAGATTATAGATTCAAATAATAGCTGTTCAGATGATTTTTGGAGAATTATTAAAAAACTTAAAAAGGAGAACTTCAAGGATCCTAGCTCTAACATACAACCTAAAGAATGGTTTGAATACTTGAATAAACTAATGAATATTAATTATGATAAAAATGTACTTAACGATAAGAAAATGAGTACTGCTTTTAATGATTGTAACAGTGAGATCTTAAACAGTTATATTACAACTAAGGAGGTGGTTATTGCAGCTAAATCTTAAAAGAATAATATAAAAGCAAGTGGTTCAAATTGTATTACAAATGAAATGTTGCAAATATCTTGTAATATGAATATTGATGTTTATGTAAAATTGTTTAATCTTATTCTTAAGTCTGGCATTTATCCAACTTTATGGGGAGAACATTTTATGAAGCCTATTTTTAAGGGTGGGTGTTTTAATGATCCATCTAATTATCGAGGTATAGCCCTTTCAAGTTGTTCAGAAATTTTTTTTTCTTAAAGTTCGATATAGCAGATTAGAAAAATATCTTGAAAGAAACCAAATTATTTGTCGTGAGCAAATTGGATTCAGAAAGGGAAGTCGAACATTTGATCATGTTTTAACTCTTAAAACTATAATTGATAAAGCATTTAAATCATCATAAAAAAAAGATATATGCCTGTTTCATAGATTTCAGGAAGGCATTTGATACTATTAACAGAAAGGCCCTCTTTAACAAATTGTCATATTACAACATAGATGGTCCCTTTTTCAATATTAATGAAAATTATGTATAAAGAGGTTTTGTACTCGGTGAAGATATCTGAAGGTGTCACTGATTTTTTTAATTCCACAGTTGGGGTAAAACAAGGGTGTATCTTAAGCCCCACATTATTTTCTTTATATATTAATGATTTACACTCTATTTTTGACTCCACATGTGAACCACCCATGTTAAATGATGATGATATTTCATGTCTGTTATATGCTGATGACTTAGTTCTAATTTCTGAAACTGCTATAATAATGGCCTACAAAAATGCCTTGATAAGCTAAGTTTATATTGCACTAGTTGGGATTTAACAGTAAATCTCGACAAAACCAAAGTTATGATTTTTAACAAATCTGGTAAAAAACCTACAAAAGACAAGTTTGTTTTAATGATAATGTTTTGGAACACTGTACAGAATATTAATATTTGGGTATAGTGTTTAAACTCTCTGGTAGTTTTACTGAGGCAGTGAGACTTCTTTTTAAAAAAGCCTCAAAAGCTATATTTTGTATTAGAAAACAGTTATTTTCTAAAGATATTAATGTATTACCTCACCTAAAGCTTTTTGATGCTTGTGTTAAACCTATACTTCTTTATTGTAGGGAAGCTTGGTCTCTATATATGATTAAAGATATTACAAATCTAGAGTCAAAATATTGGTCATTGGCTACCATTAAAATTCAGATTAAATTTGCAAAAACTTTAATTGGAGTAAAAAAAACAGCTGTTAATTTAGCAGTACTAGCTGAACTTGGTATGTATCCAGTTTTTATAGAAGCTTTAAAACTGCCAATTGGCTTCTGGTTGCATGCGATAAAATCTGGTAATAATTGTTTACTTAAAGATGTATATAGTTCAAACCTGCAATTAACCAATGGATTTGCAAGAAAGATTGAACAGTTACTTGCTACATTAAATTTTTCACACGTTTGGGAAAATCATGATACTATTTCAAAAAGGCGTTTATTATATGCACTTCATACCAAACTTAATGATAGATATCTAAATTATTGGAAAGAAAATATTTTTGGTGATGATATATCATTGCACGGTAATAAGCTCAGAACATATAGACAGCTTAAAGAAAATTACAAAATGGAAGCCTATTTATTGTTAAGCATTGACAAAAAAGTAAAAGGACATTTTGCCAAAATTCGCACAAATAATAGTGTTCTTAAAATTGAACAAGGTCGACACACTTTAACCCCTTTAGAAGAAAGAATTTGTCCCTTGTGTCTTTTAGAAGTAGAAGATGAATTTCATTTCACTAGAAAATGTACAAAACTAAATACAATTAGAGAACTGCAACAATTATTTTCTAAAATTAGTGAAATAGTGCCCTCTTTTTTAAATATGACTGATGAAGAGAGATTTAAATTTTTGTATAGGTGTGGTGAGACTGATATAATTAGAATCATTGTAAAATTCATAAGTTGACATGTACAATTCTAGAAATGCTTTATTGAGTAATAAATAAATTTGTGGTACCACCTTCTTAGCAGAGATTATATACATATATATTATTGTAACAATATTTTCTTTTAATAATGGAGGGGATATACAAATTTATATATACAATGTTTATAAATGTGGACAGATATATGTTTGTATGTTTATGTATAGCCAATGTTCATTGTCTTGGTAATAATCCTATAATTTTGGATTTTAAACCAATAAAATATCTTGTCTTATCTTATCTTATACGAGTAAAGTTGTCGTTTGGAACCGTTCACGATTGGTTTTTACTCATTTAACATAAAGGAAACATACAAATTTATATTTTCTACATACGGCTTAGAATACCTGAAATACCCATTTTAAAATATTATATACATCAAATGAATATGAAAATAAGAAAATTTTTCGTTTATCAATATTAACCCCACGTACAAAACGACTAATCAAGACAAATATGGTGATAACCAATGCAGTCATGACTCTGTTTGTTTTTTAACATAATATTTTTTTTAACTTTAAACGTTATTTTTTTTTAGCTAAACGACTTAACTTTAAATACTTATTTCTGACTCTGATGCATTTTGAAATGTTTGGGAATCAAAGTGACCGGCGATTAAAAAACATTATTATAAATCGCCAAAATATATGTATGTTTAAAAGAAATGTGACCAACATATGGAACAATATTACATTTATTATTCTAGAATCGGCGGTTACAATACATATTTTTAATTTTTTTTTTAATCAGGAGTCACAATTTTTTAAATATGACAAATATATTCTTTTGAAGTTTTATAACAATTTCATAAAACATTGACAATGTCATATACGTTGATTTATTCTCTTTCAGTTTTAGCCAGGCGTTTTCCTACGAAAAATCCGAAAAATCATTTCTGTGTTACATATTATTCGCATTTGTCGAAGACAGTTTATCTTATTGGAATGCACTCACCACAACAATCTTTACGATTCCATATTTCTACTCTTTCAACCAGGTATTCCCTTCCCAAATTCACCCACCAGAAAGGATTTTTCTCAGGCTTAGTATGTATCATGTACTCGTTTCCACTAGGCATTAGTCCATCTACACCTTGACTAGAGTTAAACTTGGCACTAGAACTGAGTGTTGAACTTTGACCAGTTGGCTTTTTGTGTGCAACATCTTCTACGCATTTGTCCATTCTCCTCCCTGTTTGGTGAAAAAAATATATACATAAAATTATTAACTTTTATAAAGGTTCTGGTTTCGAGGACGAAAAACCTATTTTTGTGCAAAATGCATACTCCTATAAAAAAGAGTCAGAAATCTTGACAAATTGGCGATCTGATTTATTACGTATGTAAATTCTTTATATGTCTTTCAGCTTTCTCTAATCCGCTGGATTTTCTGATTTTAAGAAATTACTATGTAGTTGTTTGTTTGGGCATTAATTCATTTTTTGTATTAATAACGCAATTGCTTGCATGTAATCTCATCCAAAGCGTGTGAACAGTTTTATAATTGCATCGCTACTTAACTTCTTCAAATTGAACGAATATTTTGTAAAAAAATGAATCAAGAATTTTTTGAATATATATACAAAATGATTGTCTTCAGAGTTACATACCCTGACAGTTTTTGACGAGTAGATCTTGTAGTATTTGTGTTTGTTTTGTAATTGTGGAGTTAACGAAGTCCATCAGTTTCTTAATATTTAAATAATCACACTTCTTAAAATCTTCACCATTGTTGCTTGAAATGGTAATATGACACCCAGAAGAAAGAGTATACAACGATAACAATGAACCCACAACTATTAATATTTCCATTACAGAATCTTGTATCATTGTAGAGAGTCCTCGTTGTGTAGACATCTGTAGACACATATACAAGTTTAAACAACAAACTGTCACGCAAAAGAATCATTTGTTATTTGATAGCACCATCTCTGTTAACACGAACATAGAATATTGATTTTTGAAATATACATTCTTTCTGTGTTATACCCCAAAAACAATAAAAATGAACGACGATACCACAACATTTGCTTGCCTCTTTCAGTTTTCAGTTTCGACTGATTGGTTTCTTCATTTATAATAACCTTGCCAATAGAGCAAGATTGAATTTCTCTCGTAACATGACATCCGTCCATTGTTTGTTGTAAACGATTAGAAATGTCTGAAATACATTAAACCAACCTTAAGCAAACATTGCCACACTGTGGCTAGTTTCAAAGTTGTGTCAGATGTAGTTGCCGAAGAACCAGCATGGATGTTGTTACCAAAATTTCGACGATCGGGCCAAACGCAATGAAAAATTAAACTAAAAATATCTTTTAATTCATGAAAAAATTCATAATCGCTCCCAAACGATTACCAAACGGTCCCATACTAGAATTAAGGTTGATGGTCCAATCATCTTCCGACATTGTTAAATGATATATGTATGGTCTAGTTTAGGTTGATGATCTAACGTAACGATGTGAGCCACCAGTTTTGAAAATAGGCAATTTTTATAAAGAAATCAATGAAAAATTGGAGAAAATCTTAGGGATGACGAATTCCCATCAGACATAGGTTAGATAATACATTTTTGATCTTCAATCATAATTACGGTAAGTGACATCAACAACATCCAAATTTGGAAGACATTGTTATTTTAGAAAGAGCATCTTAAGACGATTGAAACAATCGTGTGAAGGATTAATTTTTAACAAATTTTGTATCTATTTTTGAATAATGGTTGAAATCATTAATGGCCTTCAAACATGGCCGAGACTCCTGCTGATACAGAAAAGGTGTCTCAAAAATAACTAAGATCATCTGAAAAATATGTGAATGACCATTTTACATTTATTTGCCGTTTTGAAAAATATGGTTGACTGTCCTCTTTTTAGCCGTATATTTGGGACTAATACCAATACGATTTTTTATAGTTTGAAAGGCCTCTTTGACATTTTTCGAAATATCCGTATTGATAATCTGCACATATGACTTTGGGGATAAGATATCGTGTAATGTAATTACTGTATAAAATCTACCCTGCCGTACAGGAGATGTCGATTATACAAATTCGTGAAATTAGAAAATGTACAAAGAAGACTTAGTTTAGTATATATACATGCATTGGTCTAATAATTTCCTTAACATAATAAACACAAGAAAATCGTTTCGCATGACTTTAATTAGAACAGGTTTTAACAGCAAATACTTTAATTTCCAGTAGATTTAAATAATCCGTTCCCTGGAGTTGCAGCTTGACGTAACGACCCCTCATTCTCTTGGTACAGCCGAGAACTAGGTGTTCACCTTTGTGACTTGGACCTTTGTAGTGCGCACATAACTTCATATCGTTTAATGTTGGCCCAATAGTTACATCCAAATTTCTAGTTCGTTCAGCTGAATATAAAACAAGCAATTGTTAATACGATTATATAAAACAAGCAATTGTTAATACGATTATATAAAACAAGCAATTGTTAATACGATTATATAAAACAAGCAATTGTTAATACGATTCGGTTTTATTAACCGACTAAACATTTGTAAAATTACAGAATTAATGTTGAAACAATTGGTTATCATTTAGGGCATTTGTTAAAATGCTACAATTCTTTTGTATTGATCATGAAAGGCACATATCACATGATCAGTTGATAGGAAATGCCAACATTCCTTCGTTCTGCCTAAATATGCATGAAATATATGTACTTTTAGCAAACAACAATCAATCTGGGTCGATACCTCTGCTGGTGAACTTTTAGTCCCCGATGGTAGCTTAATTCATCGGTACTGGCGTGAAAATAGGGATATTGTTTTATTGAAATTTGCTATTACTTTAGTATAAATCGTTTGAAATTATGTATCTCCGTCATATATAGTTCTAATTTCTTGTCCAGTTCTGGCTATACTTCTGATCCGTTTCGATTACATCAGCTCTTCCACTTTTGGATTATGTTTTAGATTTTCAAAAAAATTGACCTCGAATATCACTGATGAAACATTAATTGTCGCACCATATTATTCTCAGGGGACCCTAGAGTTTTTTTAATCTTTAAGCATATATCAGTGTGCCTGACATATGACAAGGTCTTTATTGGTTTCTGGACAGGCGTTTTCTGAATTTGCTACCCTGCAAGGCTTGATAATAATATAGAGGATGATTTGCTTCTACTATTGACTGGAAGATAAAGGTTCTTTGTAGAAAATAACAGGTTTTCCAATTCCAGACCTTACTTTAACAGGGAAGTGGATACTGATTTTTCAAAGTGGCAAATTCAGATATGGCTTAGATGTGTTTCATATTGATCTGTGATAGTTAGCTATATTGATGTAATGGAGTCTGAAAAAGATGAATCAAAGCATGCTCAGATTAAGTAGCCTACTTAAGATCTATGGCATATGACTTCACGTATAATTGCTAACTCTGTTATGACCTAGATGAACATTTTCATGAAAACAGTACATTTCGGAAAGAAAGCCACATAAGTTAAATTTCTGACTTTCCCTTGAATTGCGCACAACTCTTTGGTGGTAAATATTTTGAACTTTAACATTACTCTGCTGAAATATTCGGGATGCTAAAGAAACACATACCGCTTATAAATCCATCTTCATTTGTCCCTGTTAGAAACAAAATTTTCATTAAGGATCAAGGAAGCCGAGATCTTCTTTCAAAATTGCTTATGTCAAACCTGTCTAGAATCAATAATTGATAAACAAGATTCTATTGACCGACTGAAACTTTGTCTAATTTTATGGAAAAATTCTAGAAGACATTTTTGTACCTTCTAATTTTATGAAAGAATTCCTCCCTGAAAATGATTTTAAAAAACCGCACAATTATTTGCCTGGAGTAGGCACTCATCTGTCAGACATTTCCAAAGTCAGTGGTGTCAAATAAATTAAAATAGACATATTAATACTTCAGATAGTGAAAAACGACTTTATATTAGAATTTGTCCCTACCTGTTCTTTTACAGGAGTAAAAGATACCATTGGAGCCCCAGAAGACACAACAAGGTTTTCTATATTACAAGTGTTGTATCCTTTTTTTAATTTTTTAGAAGAAAATGTGCTATAGAGAAAGTACCGAAAGTCGTAGGAAATCTATTTTCATCGTACCATAAAGATAGATTCTCAACCAAATTTAAATTTAAAACCACTAAACCAGTATGTCGACCAATAACACTTCAAAAATGAAAACTCTTAAGGTGGGTGATTGGTATATATTTCCTCAGATAGAATTTTCTTATACTTTGCCAAAATGTAGATTTTTCCATACTTTTTCAAAAACATAATAAAAAGAATGGGTAACCGTGTTATTTATCAAGCTACAAGTCGGGTAAAATTGCCAAAATTTGCATAGATTGTTCGTGAAAAAACACTTTTTTGTGAATAAAAAGAAATCTATAAGGTTCTAAAATATGCTTTAAGAACATAAAAAGAAAAAAATGGTGTCACCGACCTTGTTTTCTTGCTACAAGTAGAAATTGAAAATTTCTATATCATTCCTTTAGAAAAAAAATGTTCTGCTTGAGTTATCTACCTTTAATGACCAAGTTGACAATTTGATTCAAACAAACACAAATATTTGGTATTTATTAAATCAGTCTAAATAATGAAATAAATCACTTATTTTTTATTTTTTCCAATAAACAGTCTAACACACAATAACCAATTTGTCTCAAAATTTGCAGATTTAAGCAAAGAAATAGACCGATTGTGAACTGTTTTTTTTACAATCTAAGATGGCGGTATACAGTAAGTCTACCTTAAGTCTATCATAAAAAAAAATGAAAAGTGGGCAGTTCCACTGGACTTGAAAGCTATGTACTTCCATATCCCCATTTTCAAGCATTACTGGCAGTTCTTCTGCTTCATGGTTTTGTGGAAAAGTATCAATACCGAGATTAACATCATTGTAACATACAACGCTCTTGCTCATATCTAATTATAAATGAAAAAATATCAAAATGAGACAATTTTGGCAGTTTTTGTTGTTTGGCACTAAATGTAAGAAGTTTGAAGCCCAAATGCCAATATGTAAGTCAATTTTCAAAAATATGAATACTCAATCCGATAGACTAATGTCCATTGAACTGAATCGGAAGGGTGTTTTGATTTTTCGAATTCAAGAGGCCAAACACAGTTGCCTTATCATTCTCCTTTCGAAGGGTCATATGACTTTGAACCATCCTGTTCTAATGTGTTTAGTATTTGAATCCATAAGTATTCTCTTGGCATTCTCATACAAATATTCCTTTGAGTGGAGATGTCTTGTGATGGGATAGTGTTTGTTAGCTTTGTTCTATGAAGCCGAATGTTAAATTTGTCTCTTGCTTCTCCAATTTTCATAATACCACAGGTGTTAGCAGTAGACATAAACACGTTAGATTAATATTTGATAGTAGTACAGTTTTATTAGTATTTGTCGAAGCCAGCTTATTAACTCACCACAACAGTCTTTACGATTCCATATTTCTACTCTTTCAACCAGGTATTCCTTGTCCAGATTCACCCACCAGAAGGGATTTCTCTCTCTGTGAGTAGCTATTATATGCACGCTTCCACTAGGAAATAGTCCATCTACACCGTGACTAGAGTTAAACTGAGCGGTAGGATTGAGTGTTGAACTTTGACCAGTTGACTTTTTGTTTGCAACGTCTTCCACGCATTTATAGATTCTCCTCCCTGTTTGGTGAAAAAATTACATATAAAACTATTAACGTTTATAATGGTTCTGGTTTCGATAGCGAAATACTTTTTTTTGTGCAAATTGCTATAATCGTTAAAAAAAATAGTCCGGAATCATGACAATTTCACTTTATGATTAAACATGTACTAGTATGGGAGTTCTTTATATGAATTTCAGTTTCCCCTATCCGCCGGATTATCTGAATTAAAGAAATGAGTTTGTAATTGTTTGGGTATCCGTTCAGGGTTGAGATCGCACAAAACATGTTTAACCCCGCTGCATTTTTGCGCCTGACCCAAGTCAGGAGCCTCTGGCCTTTGTTAGTCTAGTACGTTTTTTAATTTTAGTTCATTTATATGTTTTGGATTTTAGTGTGACGTCCATTTTCACTGAACTAGCACACAATTTTAGTTAGGGGCCAGCTGAAGCCCGACCCCGGGTACGGGATTTTCTCGCTGTTTTGAAGACTGTCTCGGCTGTTTTCTGTTCTTTGGTCGGGTTGTTGTCTCTTTGACACATTCCTCATTTCTATTCTCAATGCTATTCTCTGTACTAATTCCCGTAATTTCTGACATGTAATCTCACTCAACCAAATGTGAACAGTTTATATTTGCATCGCTCCATAACTTCTTCAAATTGAATGGACCTTTAAAAAACATGAATTAAGCATTTTTAAATTAAAGAAATGGTTTTACCCAGAGTTACATACCTTGACAGTCTTTGGTCATTACATCTTGTAGTATTTGTGTTTGTTTTGTGATTGTGGAGTTGACGAAGTCCATCATTTTTTTAATATTTAAATCATCACACTTTTTCAAATCTTCACCATTGTTGCTTGAAATGGTAATATGACACCCAGAAGACAGAGTATACAAAGATAACAAGGAACACACAACTATTATTGTTTCCATTACAGAATCTTGTAGCATTGTAGAGAGTCCTCGTCGTGTAATCATTTATTGACAAATATAAATGTTTAAACAACAAATTGTCACGCATAAAAATCATTTGTTATATGAGAGCACCATCTCTGTAAACACGAAAACAAAATATTGATCTTTAACATAAACATACTTTCCGTATTTTAGCTACTCCAAGCAATAAAAATAAACGACAATGCCAAATCATTTGCCTACCTCTTTCTGTTTTCGCTTTCGAATTATTGTTCTCTTTTTTTTACTCGCCAGGCCAAAAATGTCAGATTGATTTTTTTTCTTTACATTGCATGCGTCCATCGTCTATTGTAAACGTTTAACAAAAATATCTGAGACACATTAAACCATCTGGAAGCAAACATTGCCACACTGTGGCTAGTTTCAAGATTGTGTCAAATGTAAATGCCGATGAACCAGCATTGATGTTGTTTCCAAATATCAAACATCGGGCCAAAATCAATGAAACCAAAAATATCTTTTTGATTCCTGAAAATGTCATTAGGAAAACGATTACCTAATGGTCAACTATTAAGATTATGGTTGATGTCCCCAACCACCTTCCGACATTGTTAAAATATATATGTTATGATCTAAATATGGTTGCTGATCTAACCATAAAGATGTGAGTCACTAGTATTGAAAAAAGACAGTTTGAGAAATCAATGAAAAGTTCGGAAAAGGCTTAGTGGAGAACAAATTCCAACCAGACATTGGTTAAATAATACATTTTTGATATTCAATCATAATTACAGTTGATGACATCAAAAACATTCAAACATAAACACCACTGTTGTTAAAGATGGAATATCTTAACAATGGTCCTAAAAATCGTCGGAAGGACGAAGTGTTAACAAACGTTGTATTATAAAGATCATCTGAAAAAAAAATGTGAATGACCATTTTTTTTTACCAAAGTTTGATTACATATTATATCTATGTTCTATTTTGATATTTTTCCACACTTGTCCTCTTTTTTTGTATTTTTGGGACTGGTACCAATAAGCTATTTTGAGTGGCCTTTTTTATATTTTTGAAATATGCGTATTGATACTTTTTTTTTACTGTTATACAAATGTCATAGAATGACTAAAGTTGATTTTTTTCTGTATCATTTTTATTTAAGTTTTTATTGTCTTGTTTTCCTATTCAACCTAGCGATGTTCAACTAGTAATGGTTTCACTGATTACTATTCCAAACTATTTTTTATAAAAATCCTTCAGTAATCTTCCTACTAACAGCATACAATTATTTTGTAAAACATAGCTGATATAGTCTTCTTACAGACGGAATTATAATAATACAAGAAGACATTGAACTTTTGTAACTACATAACTAATTATAACATGTAAGTTTCATATGTAACATAAAACAAATAAGAATAGCAATAGCAATATTAACTATATCAAAATTCTTTTATATCAGAATATAGAGATTTAGATTCTTCCGTTTGTGTGGTTATTTGATTTGCCTTGTGGTTGTCAAGTTCAGACTCTTACCCTGTGAAATCAACTGCCCGTCTCTTTCAGTGTGTTGGACACTATTTAGATCGATGATAACGTCAATATATTTTCTATTTTGTTTATGAGGACAAAACCAAACACTCTCAGTTAGACAACACATAAAGCATATGACATATGAAACCGGAACGACATATCCCAGCTACCTGTAACATCGGCTAACCAACCTGTTATATAAAGTATGTTATATACATCCAATCGTCTTTAACAATCAAAATTCTTTTATTCAAATGAGATAATAAATATGAAAAGCAGATCAAAGACAATAAATACTGTAAACCAACTAATTTTCGCGAACAATTTATTTTTGCGACTTTCGCGAGCAAAAAATAACGCAAATATGTAAACTTGATTTTTTCCTTATTTGAATATTTTAAGTAAATTTAAAATCCACGAAATTCAATCGCCGCGAAGTTGGATATGGAAAGGGATAATCGTGAAATAAAGTATCCGCGAAAATAAGTTGTTATACATTATGAAAAACAGACCAAAGACTCGAATGGCTGGGTTCCGCACATTGTATCTTAAATAATGGTCTAAACATTTCCTGCTATGTATGCATCGCCCACCATAAGAATCAGCACTCAATCATAATATTACAATTAGGAATAAGACACAATCGGTAAAATTAAAGATCAGACGACTGTATTTAAGAATCTAAGACTGCGAAAATATGTTGCTAGTTAGTTGAAACACCGAAATTCGTAAGGGTGATGTAGTGTCGATTTAATCTGTTCTTCCTCATAAATCTGTTGAAACATTTTTTGTGTAAGGAGCAAATCCATGTTCCGAATAGCGTGAACATGCACGAGCATAACGTATTACTGAGATATGCAAACGCCATACGAGGGAGCAGATGTTATGTTGCTGCTGATAAATGAGAGATTGGAAAGTTGAAATCAACACGTTTGTCATAGATTCTAGTTTTAGCAGTCAATATCGAGGAAATATCAAGATATGAAGCAAACTTTCTACTTTTGGTAGTGTCCTTAATATCATATCCATTGGAATATATGAGATGTAAGGAATCATTGAAATGTGGGTAATGGAGTGACAAGACATCAATATATCTGAAGGTGAAATTACAGAATTTTGCAAGATGCTTTTTCTTTTGTCTGTACTGAAATTTAAATATAGGGAAATATGAAAAACATGTAAAAATTGGGGGGAAATCTTTAAATAACTTCATAATGGAAGGTGTTCAACCTCAAACGGTTTGAAAACTCTCCTTGAAGTTCAAAACTTAGATCTGAGTTAAAAAAACAAGAGTTGATGCCATCTTTTCAAGATTTTTGCTGAAAAATTAAAACAAACATGGGGCAACATCATTCAAGCAATTCCATAATAGCAGGTGTACAACTTCAATATATGTGTAATCATTCTTGGAAGTTTCAAGGATCTGGATTGAAAACAGAAGGAGGAGTTGATTACACAAAACTAGTTCTGTCTTTTGTAAATTTGATGGGAACTCGGAAAAATAAGAAAAACATCATAAAAAACTATTCAATAATAGCAATTAATAAATTATTAACAACTTCAAAATGTCTGCTGTATTTCTATGACATTTCCGGGATATAGGTTGCAAAATGTAGGAGGTGTTGATTACACAAATAAGGTACCTTCTTTTTCCCTGCCTGCCTGCCCGCCCAGCCAAAAATAACAAAAAGTATTCCATATGTTATATAAAATAGCTCCATCTTTGGTGAAAAGGCACATGCTGTATAACCAAGTAGTATCAGACAACTTCCAATCATCGTCGCCTTACAATATGTATACTTCTCTCCACTGAAATTGGAGACTGGCCCTTTTAGTTAAAACAGTCTACATATAAAAGAGTTAAAGCCAATTTCCCCTGAATTTATTTCACAGAAGGACTATTTTCTAAACGCCATTTAACCTTTACAAAACTTGATGTATTATAGATTTCTATACGTTCTTTAATGTATAAACAACATTTTGGCGTATTTTCGACCAATTATAATTACCTTAAATGCTTCAAAACAGAAATTTTAATATTTCAAAAAAAAACAACAGTTGGACATTGTTTACTAAACCAAACTTCTGTAGAAAGTAGTTTTATATATTGTTTTTTTTTTATTCAAATCAATTCAATTTGGATAACTGATGTCCTTCGATGCAAAATATTACAAAAAAACATGAGAAATTTACAATATTGTCTTCTATAGCAATGTGTAGCACTGACAAATCATTTTGATAGTATAAAAATTATCAAACTTTTGCATCTGTTTTCAAGTATGTACTCCTTAATATAATTACAGTTAGTTTTAACAACATACTAATTTTGACCCTGTGTGTAATACAAATACGAGGGAAATTGGCCCTATTTCTTTAGTAGTAGAATAACAGACAAAACAGTGACCAAAGACGAGAAGACAACATATAGTCGACAAAACCTTAAAATGACACCTATATGCAACACGCATCAAAAACATGTCTACGGTACTCTACGTAATGAGTGAGTATGTTGACACATTTAGTTTTGGGATGAAAACAGTGATCCTTCATTATTTTTAAAACTATTTAAGAAGATAGAGTATCAAAACGACCAGTATGCCGAAGAAATATTTTCAATTATACAACTTTAAAACCTACACACGTGTTGTCTGTATGTTTTATTTGTGTGCCCCTTGATATTTTATCCCCATCGTCATACAAATTCAAAAATAAAACAAATAAAAAGAAGTGAATATATGTATACTATACACAGACGACCCTGACAACAAAAATTGAACATACCAATACCTGTGACACCCCCGAAGGGTACATTCTACCTGCAAAACACCAATTGTATTCATATCAGTTTTGTTTCAGAGGAAGCATTATGTTAATGTTCCGTTTTAACTGTAATGGTACATACAATAAGTCTACAATTTACAATTTTACTTTCAACCTTTTAAACTTTAAAATATCGAATCTGGAAAGTGATCACGATACTAAAAGCTTTTGTATTTTTCAAATATGTATTGGTTTTAGACACTCATTGATGTATTAACTTGCTCCTCAAAAAGTTGTAACATTAGATATGATAAAACCTTTTTATTTTAAGTTACATTTTGTACGCTTTAATAAAACGTTGAAGAAATGTTGCTACATCAATATCGGTAAAACGAGATGGAGAGCATCTCATCTACAATGAAAGAACTAGAGCATATATTAATTTCTTAAATAACACACTGAACCTGTTTTTGCAGAACACTGTTTTAAAATTACATTTGAAAACGGCAAACTACTGTCGCTTTAATTTACTAAAGCATTACAATTTGCTATATTATATGAAACTGAAGACTAACAAATTAATATTATCTTTCATCTACATCTGTCTGTTTCATTTTTGCGTTAACATATCTAAATAAATTACCTTTCCATTAGAGCATATCGTGTTTATAGCTCACCTGTACCACAGGACTCAATCAACCTAAATGTTAATCCCTATTCTAGTTTGGTCTTGAACATAAAAC